AGAAGGCCACCAACCGTCTGAATGAGCTTGTCCAATAAGTCGGACCTTAATTCGGACAGGGGACGGTTAATGGCCTCAGTGAACACAGTCTGGGCCTCCGCTGGAACCGGAACAGTCGATAGGACAGCTAAGTCCGAAGGCCCCTGCAAGTCCTACAATGTCAATAAATATTCCAAGGGAGTTGCAAATTTGTTTGGAGAAAATATGTGGTACCTCTGGGCGGACTGCTGTCAGTGAGGGGGGCAGCAATGAGGTCGGTCGAGTTGGGCAGACAGCTGGTATAACAGCAGCCGACTCGTCGGCTGCTGCGAATGGTCGCTGAGGTGCCGACCTGGGTCCCTATGGAAAGTAGTATTTGAAACAGTTAGTGTTTTTCGAAAGAAAAGTTATGGCATGGATTGGTTTAATCTTACCAAATTCACAGAAGTCTCCGAATCGGATGAAGACATTTCTTCCATTTCTGGAGGTTGGGCTGCCACAGGTGGTTCTTCTGCCTGCCATTCGATGGCTAGAGGGAGCGCCGCTGCTGGTAGGGCGGCTGCAGGTTGGACGGCTACATCTAGAGCCACTGCAGCCAGGCTCTCTGGGGCACCTTCGATTTCGGGATCAGCAGCATCAGGGATGTCGTTTTGAGGGTCAGCTTTGGCGAGGGCGGCTGGTTCTTCCTTTGACATAGATGAGTCTGATGCCATGTATGGCGGCCGACCCATCTGGGAAGTAGTCCCCTCGCTGTCAGAAGGGACCCCTGCTGCTGATGGGATGGGTGAAGGTGTCTGTGGAAAAATCATGAAGATGTTTGTTGTTAAATATATCAGGGTTGATCATTAGAATCCTAAGTATGGCTGATGAGAGAACTTACTGGTTCTCTAGGCACTACTGGTAAAGATTGCCTCCTGGTCGGGGGCCTGGCCCGACCACTCCTCGGTACAGGAGGAAGAGTTTGCCTCCGCGTCGGGTCCTCCGCCCGACTGCTCATTGGCAAATTGGTCTGGACCAAAGGCCCGATTGAATGGTCGGTTGGTGCTGGCGTCGGTTGCATGGTCGGTGTCACCAAGGTCGGTTCTGGGGAATGAAATGAGTAAAATCAAAGTTACGATATAGTGAATTGGTTCACGGTGTTAAGAAACATTACCAATTCGGGGTCGGGTCCTTGCTGACGTCCTATTTATTCCAAGGTCTGCTAGTGTTTGCTGGTCGGTCTCCGAGGTCGGGGGTGTTTGCAGCTGGGAAGTTTTTCTTTTGCGCGTGGGACCACCAGATCCGATTCCCGGGGCGGTTGTTTGTTGTTGGGTGCTAGTATGTCTCGCCGCCCCTAGAACCAATCCTTGGGGGGGGAGGAGTATGTTCAGCAACCGACCCTCATCAGGGGATATCAGGGACCATACAACCGACCACCATTCATTGAAAGTATCTACAATCTCAGGGTTGGAGCGGAAAGGAATATAAGAATTGGAAATTATATACGTGGTGAGAAGGAAGAACACTTTTGGAAGGGGAAACTATGACGTACCTACAAAGCCAGAACAGGATAAAGGCAGTATGCTCCCGGTCGGTTACAGGAGTCCCTGGAGCCCCTTGCTGGTCGGTTGCGAACTTTGTCCAACCCCATTCCTTCACACCTTGTAAAGACCATCCCGGATGGTCTTCTGATGGCTCCTGCCCATCTAGGGCTCCCATTACAGGGTCTTCACCCACGACTGGGAGATGTGCGATCATGGCCACGTCCATAAGAGTTGGGCCAAAGGGGCCTGATGGGAAGAGGAAAGTCCCATTTTCCGCATTCCAGAAGGCAGACATGGCCAACAACACCTTCTCATGCAGGTTGATAGGCATGGTGGACAGTAATATTGCTTGGTCGATCTTTTGGGAACGCCATTGGGTCTGGAAGTGTTCTGCTACCCGTCGATACCAAGCGCGGTAAGGATCTTTTGGGTCTGTGAGATGGGTTTTGATGCTGTCTCGGATGCGAACTGCTTGGTAGTTAGGGCTGTTGATAGCCAAGGAATTTCGGGATTCCAAGATTTCCCTCATCCGATTTGAATCTTCAGGAGTAGTGCAATATGGACGGATCGTCGGAGTCAGTACTTTCGAGGCTGAAAATGGGCCCTCCGGGAGGGTTCCGTCGAAGGGAAGGGCAGGAATGTATTGATTCGCCATGGTTAGAGTGTTTTGGGATTGTGATTCGCAAAAGCTTGTAGTGCGGAGAAGGAAGTTAATCAGGAGTGTTGCAGTAACTGGTGCAGTTGCTAAAGGAGTTTTTCTCGAGGGTGGTGATTTATGAACTTCCAAACATTGATTGTTAAATGGCGTTTGAAAGTCCCTTGGCGGCGGGCAAGTTGTTACGTACGAAATTTAGAATTAGGTTAAAAGCCCAAGGTAAAAAGAAGAATGGGCCTGGCAATAGGGTTAATTGAACTGGCTGAAGGACACTGTGAGGAAATCAAGGAAAATAGATTTATTTCTAAGGAAAATACAAGCCGGAAGGTCCTCAGGTCGGTAGGTCCTCAAGACGGAAGGACCTCAGGTCGGAAGGATCTCAGGTCGGTAGGTCCTCAGGTCGGTAGGTCCTCAAGACGGAAGGTCCTCAAGACGGAAGGTCCTCAGGGCGGAAAGACCTCAGGTCGGAAGGATCTCAGGTCGGTAGGTCCTCAAGATGGAAGGACCTCAGGGTGGAAAGACCTCAGGTCGGAAGGATCTCAGGTCGGTAGGTCCTCAAGACGGAAGGACCTCAAGTCGGAAGGTCTTCAGGTCGGGAGTTCCTCAAGGCGGAAAGTCATCAGGACGGGAAGTCCGCAGGTCGGGAGGCTTTCAGGTCGGGAAAAGGAAGAAAGTTAAGATCTCAAGAATTGATCCAAATCCAGACCGAAGTCGGGCAGACGCGGAGGTCTGTTAAGAGGAAGGTCGGGCAAGGAAGAGGTACGGACAGACGCGGAGGCCTTTGATCAAAGACAGGGGGCGGTTGATATGGAGGTCGGCCCAAGTGGGGTCGGGCGAAGAAGTAGGTCGGACGAAGGACGAAGTCGGGCCAAAAGAGCGGAAGGTCTGTGGTCGGCTCAAGGAGTGAAATATAGGGAATTTTGGTCTGCTGGGGACACGTGTCAGCATGAGAAAGGTTGGAAGACGGTTGAGAAGGAGACGTTGTAACCGTTCGGGTGACGGTTTTCAGTACGGTTTCCCAGGGAATATTTAAGGATTTGGATCATCATTTGGCAAGGAATCTTCAATCAACTTCAACAAAGCAAAGTCAGATTTGGGGATCACCACTTTAAATTTCAGTCTTTTATTTTCCAGTTTATTTTCTGTACCGTACAGTGTTTAGAGATTCCTAATCTCAGGCACTAATTAATCAAGTTTAAGGATATTTTCTATATCTTTGAATTTTACTTTATTTTTGTTGAAAAATTACATCAACAACTTTATTATGAGACGGACTAAAATAAAAAAATAGATATATTATTAAGACACGAAAAAAATATTATTCTACAATTTCCTTGTTTGATCTTATCCCCATTTGGGTGGAAGAAGCGAACAACTCAGGTAATCAAGTAAAATAAGAATCAATCTTTTCACTAAGATATTTTTTAATGATTTTTTTTTTATAATATTATTAAATATATATATTAATATAATATATATTATTCACCATAAAAAATTAATTATTTAATATAAAATATTATTTTTTGTATTATCAATATAATTCTACGTACCACACAAAAAATTAATTGAATAAGTGATAAACTAAATATGATTTCTTATCATATTTTCTCTTTGTCCATTTGAAAAGTAAACAATTATTTTGATATATAATTTAATAAATTATATTTTAATAATAATTGATAGTTTTATATATAAACTATTTTATTTTTATAATATATAAATTTGCCATAAAATTATTAATATAAAAAAATATAAATATAATGGTATTTATAATATGCAATAGATTCATAGGAAGAAAACATACATTATATATAACCACCTAAAAAAACTTTAAGGGTGTGTTTGTTTGAAATTTGGATTTGAATCGTAAAATTTTAAATTTTAATAGTATATGTCAGATATAAATAATAATTGATGTGATATTTTAAATATAAAATTATTTTTTTAGTATAATATAAAAAATAAAAAATAACGGTTTATTTTAATACTTTTGAAATTTTTTTCATAAAAATAATATAAATCCCACAAAATTACTCGAACAAACACACCCTAAAGTATTTTTAAAATTATACACACCATCCTTAATTAATGTAATTAATGTATAATGACGATTCCTTGGCATAGGAGTGGCACGCAGCAGTAGATTGATGACGTGGCGAATTGCGATTGGCCAAGGTGCGTGGCAGCATCAAAATGGCGCCGCCGATGGGCAATTCTTATCAAACATCCCTGACCACACGATTTATCGGAGGACTCCACGGAATTGACGGTGTGGATCAATTTGACTATCCCCAGCTTTCCGGAAGTTTCACAGCAGCGGCGATAGAATTGTCTAGAATATTCCCGCACTCTCTTTCTATTTATGACGTCATATATAAACATGTCAAAATTTTTATTTTATAAAATAGTCAGCAATTAATTAAACTAAAATTATTTGTTATTTTTAGTGATGATTTATTTGTAAATAAACAAGTTTAAAAGAGAACTTGCAGTGCAAGAAAATTATGGATTCGTTTATTTGTATATTTATAATATTATTAAAGATTTTTTATACAAAATTTCACTATTTGAACTATGCTTTTTTTTAATAAATATATTTTTTTTTTAACACAAAAAATTATATTATACATTATTTTAATATAAATTTAAATTAAAATTTTCTTAAATTTATCAAAAGAAACAAACTTTAAATTATTATTATTATTGTTTAAGATTTACTAACAAATAAATAAAATATTTATGTAATTATTTATAATTTAAAATTAGAAGACGCGTGAATATTAGAAAATAAAAAAAGAAATTAGGAGTCTACCTATATATATATATATATATAGATAGGAGAGAGGCTTTTCTGATCAGAATACATACAGCGGTTGGTTTTGAAATCCAGTCAAGAACAGAACGATAATGGATTCCTTCGCGTCTTTCTTCGATTCGCAATCCGCCTCTCGATCGCGTTGGAGCTACGACTCGCTCAAGAATTTACGCCAGATCTCCCCGGTTGTTCAGAATCATCTCAAACAGGTTAGATTCCGCTCTGCTATGTTTGATTGTCTTCCGATTTTTTTATTCTCGAACTTGCTGTTACGTGTTTGGGAAAGATTATGATGGAAATTGTGTGCTGAATTACTCGTTTTGAAGGATGGCTTATGAAAATTCTGCGTGGGGTAAAATTAGGGTTCGATCTATTTGTTAGATTTTGGAATGGTGAATTGACTCTCTTGATTATATACGCTTGGAATATAGAATTCCTCTCGATTCAATTGGAAGAATATATATATATATATTATGACATGGGGATGACAGATTCTTTATCATCTTATCTATTAGGTTCTTCTCTTTTTTGATTAATTTTCAACTCAACTTTGGTCGCGAGTTATGTAAAATTCACGGAGAAATTTATTCCGTTTTCTCTTAAACCTAATTTCCATGTTAAGGTTTCTCGGCATTATTTGGCTGGATAAACAATAAAACAGGCCTGATTCAATTTCAGCAGATACATTACCGATATTGTTATTCAGTAAATTAAATTTGTTATAAAGTATAGTTGCGCCATCTTTCAATTTATTATGGTGGTCAATGGTTGGAGACTGTTGAGAAGTTATAGCCTTATTTTCAGTTTAGTTTATTTCCACCTATCCAATGACGAGAAGTAGTTGAGTTATATTAACGCATTAATCTGTTTGATCTTAGGTGTATCTCTTGCTATGTTGCACCCTTGTGACATCTGCTATTGGAGCTTATCTTCACATTCTTTTCAATATTGGTGGGTTTCTTACAACTCTTGGAAGCATTGGGTGCATCATCTGGATGCTCTCTACGCCCCAATATGAAGAGGTTTGGTTTCGGTACCCTTTTCCATTCTCTCCATAACAAAGAGGAGCAATATTTTAATTTTTATTTGTTTGATCACAAACAGCAAAAAAGAGTGTCACTTCTCATGGCTGCGGCAGCCTTTCAAGGAGCCTCTGTTGGCCCTCTGATTGAACTGGCAATTGATTTTGATCCGAGGTATAAATGTTTTTCTGATAAGTATTTAACTTCCGGTGTCATTCTGGATAATATTCGTAGTTCTTTTGTTGCCTCCTATTGTTTCAATTGTGTTCTACTTTAAGATGTACAATATTGTGAACTTTTTGTTATTTTGCTTCTGTACACTTGCTTTTGCTCCTAGTTTTGCATTTATTTGTAGGATTTCGTTTCAACTATGTGAATACTATATACTCGTCTCCTGTCTGGAAAAACCATGCATTCTTATTGAATATGGAGACTAAAAATAAAGATATTTTAATATAGAAGTGGGATATGCAAAAAATAAAGAAAGGTATTATGAGAAGTTATTAAAGAATTGATAAAAAGGGGTGGGGATAAGTAGAAAAAATGGTGGTGAATTTGTTATTATTTGTTAAAACATTGGTAATAAAATTGCGAGTAGATAAAGTTGTTTATTATAAATACATTATGCATTATGCATAAATTTAACGGATTATATAATTTTGGTAGATGGAGGAAGTATAATTTTGTTTGTGGGCTAGTGAGTATTAAGTATACTTCATTATTTATATATTTGATGGCCTTTTCAAATGTTATATGGAGGCTCGTATATTTGTATAAGAAGGTTCAAAACTTCTGAACTAACCTGTTTTTCTGCTAATGAAAGGCGAACTTATTATGCAAATTTCAGTTTCAATATGAAACATCATTTGTTGCAAAGCTAACATGTAATTAAATTTTTTGTTGTAGCATTCTATTCAGTGCTTTTGTCGGCTGCGCCGTGGCCTTCGGTTGTTTCTCAGCAGCTGCCATGGTAGCACGCCGTCGAGAGTACTTGTACCTCGGGGGGCTGCTCTCTTCCGGTATCTCCATACTTCTCTGGTTGCAGTTTGCTACTTCACTTTTCGGTGGTTCCATGGCCCTTTTCAAATTCGAGGTATTATTTAGTATTTACTTGACGCCCCCTTATAGCAATCGAAGGAAATAAACAATTGATCGAAGGTGCTCACAATTTTCTTCTACATGGCAGTTGTATTTCGGACTCCTGGTGTTTGTGGGCTATGTCGTCGTCGACACCCAGGATATCATCGAGAAGGCTCATTTTGGAGACCTGGATTACGTGAAGCATGCTCTCACCTTATTCACCGACTTTGTCGCCATCTTTGTTCGGATTCTCATCATCATGGTAATAACATTTGAGAGAATTCATTTACGGATTCGGAACATAGTATGATGATTGGTATTTTTCTATGTTGGTGCATCTCTTGCTGACAATTTCGAAAAAATGGTTCTTTGCAGTTAAAGAATGCTTCGGAAAAGGAGGAGAAGAAGAAGAAAAGAAGAAACTAACTCGACCCTACGAAATAAGTCTTGTGCATAAACTTATGACTTTCTTTGATCGCCCGACTTTGTACTTTGTTATATGCTCGACGGATTGTGTCGTTTTTTTGTTTTTGTTGTTGCTTGAAAACATGTGAATTGATGATGCTAATACATGTGATATCTTAGCTCTGATAATTGGATGATGTTTTTTAATGTAATATTTTAAATGAAAAATAACGGGGATTTCAATTTTAGGATACTCTTTTATTCCTTGTCATAGAATTTTAGGATCTAAGAATTGTTATGGAGTTTGTTATATAATGAAGAATTATTCCTTCCTGTGTCAATAGGCAAAGAACCATTTTTTCTAATGATAATTTGAAAGGCAAGTGAAACAGGGGGGAGTATTGTGAAAAGATTCAATTGGGGAAGGACTTAACCGCAAATATGCGAAAATGTAAGGGTATAAATAAGAGTGAGTTGAAACTTTGTGAACTGAATTTGGAACTGTCTATACTACGATCACTTGCCGAAGCATTTTTCTCAGTCGGAGATCATCGAATACTAGTGGCGATGGCTGCTAACACGTTGTCACCGCCTTGCATCTTCTGCCAAATCGCCCGCGGTTGTACTTCTGCCGTTCTCCTCCACAAGGTCTTCGTTTCCTTGTTTAAATTTTTGCTTGTTCTTCCGTTAATCTGTTGCAACTTACATATGCTTGCGTTTGGTGTACATATTTCTCGACTTCTGTATTCCCGTGCAGGATGATAAAGTAGTTGCTTTCCAAGATATTAATCCGTCTGCATTCAGGTTTATCGACGCTTTGACTCCTAATCAGCTTTTGTCTCGTTTGCTATAACGGTTTCAAAAATTATTTCACTTTGAAAAAACTTATCATTTCGAGCTATTGCTGGTTTCTGGTTGATTATGACGGTTTGTGCGAAATGGAGATGATGTTCGATTTTGGAGGATTCTTTAATGCAGTTGTTTTTGGTATTAATTAAAATAAAAGGATATGAGAAGTCTTCAATAGGTATTTGGAGTTTGTGTCTATCGTTTTACAAATTTAATATTGTCGGAGGAATTCAATCGCAATCCATTACTGTGTCTTCTTGATCGTAACAAGATGATGACATTTTTATTGTTTTTGTTTGTTTTTACTGAATCTAGAATGGCTTCAATTTTTAGATAGACATAATATTACGTTGAAGCATTTCACAACTGATAAAAGTCTGCTTCTTCATTGTCAGTGTTTTGGGGTTTCTACAGTGTGCTACAAGCCTACAACTTGTAGAAGATGTATGCTAGGGTACAACTTCTATAGTGTTTCAACAACCAAAGTAAAATAGGTTAAATTGGAACAAACTTTGACAATAATTGCAAAAACGTAATCAAGACCATGCTAAAGTGTATGTCTAAAGCCAACTAGGCTCACAACTTTTGCATTTCTATTCTTGTTCTTTTTATATCATTCTCATTGAAATTTGTTATGTTTAGCCAACTAGGCTCACCACTTTTGCATTTCTATTCTTGTTCTTTATATCATTCTCATTGAAATTGGTTGTGTTCTGTGTCCTGACCATACTTATGCTCGACTCATTGATAGTGGAATTTTTCTTTAGTTTACTAAATTTCCGTTCCTTGTTCTACCATTTCTTATTTTTAAGGTGTGGTTGAATTTTGTTATTGTTCAAGTTGAAAGGAATTATAACATGTTTGCCCACCCCTCTTAAAAGACAAATCTTAATGTTGTAGCTCTCACCCATGACTGTGGTTTGGCTTTATTGTTAATGCATCTTAGTTTCTTCAAATTAGGCACTACTTGGTTATTCCAATTGAGCACATACCAACAGTTAAAGACCTTCGAAGGACATCAGAAGACTTTGCATTGGGTGATGATACTATTATGTTGATTCTTGTTTGAAATCATGTTTGGTGTCATTGCATTGTTTTGATTTCACCTTCTCCCCCTTGTAGTCAGCCATATGCTAAATGTTGGTAAAAACTTACTGCAAAGAGACGCATCCAATGCCAATGACTATAGGTATGTTATAAGTGCATCAACTACAGCAATCTTTAAATGTTGTGTGGTTTGTCCTTCATAGGAGCTGAACAAAAACGTAGATCATATTTTCCCTCTGAACTTTGCTATTTGCATATTCTTAATGCTTAGCAATGCCAATTTCATTTATCCACCAAGTTTATGCCCTTTTAATCTACAATTGTAGTCGTAATTTTGTGTTATTGTGCATTGGGTTGCCATATTGAATGCATATCTTCATTCTTTAACATCTACTCAATTTTCGACATGTCTAAACACTCTGTAGCATTCCTTTTGGGTAATTCTTGCATACGTATGGATTACATACTTGACATGTTACAATAAATGAAAATTTTCCTCATCACTGTACTATAATTAACCATTCTCCCTGTTTCTAATAAGCACTTTTCTTCCTGATTATGAGTCGAGTTTGTGCTTTTTAAGTCGAAACAAATGACATGCAATTCCTGGTTCAGATTTGGCTTCCACCAGCCCCCATTTAACAGCGTCAATCACCTGCATCTTCACTGCTTCGCACTTCCCTTTACGCCAAGGTTTGTGCTCTTGTGCATCATCATATATTTCCTGGATTTCTAATATCTAAGCTTCCAATCTTTTTAAGCAGATGGAAGGCTATAAAATACCTGTCTTTGGGAAAATTTGGCGTATTTATCGAAGCTGGGAAGCTGTTGGAGAGGATCAAGCCATTTTCTTCACTATAAAAACTGCTACATAAGGTAAATTGGCTTTCCTTGTTCAAGCTGTATATTTTAGTTACCACAAATTGATTCACACTTCTTTGAATCAAAATTGTGTTTGATCCTATCAATAAATCCGCCCCTTCGGACGGATAGAATGTTGGATTGATGAACCGTTACAATGTGGCTGTGATTACATTTTGGATCCAAACCATGCTTTTGACAAATCAATTCAAGAAAGCTCGGAAAAATCTTGTCTTGCTTTGCTTGAGTAGCTAATTAGTTATAGAAATCGAGTCTAGTTTGAGTTCATAAAATATTTTAACTTAAGCCGAAAAGCCCCTTATTGCAGAATTTGTAACTGCAGACTCATGTTTGGGCTCGAATAATTTGATGCTCCTATAATGTTTTAGACAATCTTCAATCTATACTTTTATCTTTATGTGTATCTTTTTTCTTTTTAAATAACCACCAAGTTCCAAAGGTATTTCTCTTCATATTTTATTTTATTTTAATCTTAAATTTACAATATTGTTTATATATATATTCTTTTTATTTGATCATAATAAGTAATAAATATTTTTAAATTTAAGTAACAATTATAAATATTAATAAAAACCTATATATCAATTAGAAAAATAAAAATAAATATAAATATACAAAAACTAAATTTATAATTATATTTACAATTAACATTAAAGCAAAAATAAACAAATAAATTAAAAAAACGCTAGAATACGAACGTATGTTCATTTGGCAAATTTTATTGTATTTATATTGTTTATTAATTTATTTTTTTTAAAAAAATATATCAAATCAAATATTTATTTTTTATTTTTTATATTATAATAAAAATTAATTTTACATTTAAAACATTCCATCAACGTCTTTATATATATCATATAATTATTTTAATTCAAAATTTTTACTATTCAATATCCACTCAAATTTTAAACCTCCAAACACATTTACTCTTAAATCACTCAAACAGAATTTCTTTTATATTTTGATATAATTTTTATGTAAAAAATAAATATTTCAAAATAAAATGCTAAACAAATTAATATACTATATAGCTCTTTTTCAGTTAGGAAGGTGCATCATGCATGCAAGTATGGAGAAAAATATCTAGCCTTCGAGAAGCTATTATCAAAAGGAATAATATATTTTAAAAATCAGATATTTATATTTACATTAGATATTTATAAGGGTATGTTTGTTTGGAGGTTTTGATTTTGAATTGGGATTTGAATAGTAAAAATTTTGAATTTGAATAGTTGTATAATGTGATATAAATAAATGTTGATGTGATGTTTTGAATGTAAAATTAATTTTTAGTATAATATAAAAAATAAAAAGTGTATTTAAAATCCAACCCCCAAACAAACACACCCTAGAAGGAGTACAAAGTAGTATCATATTTATAATGATCTTTTAAAATATTAAATATGTAAATATAAAATCTAACAAAGAAAAGAAGGATAATATAACTAAGCAAAGCCTATAATATAATTTATTAACTCATTTATATTTGTTTTAGGGCTATTTTGGTTGTGTCCGCTAGTTATTACAAGTGTATTTGTTTACTAAATAGGCTTCTTTCTATGGTTTTTTTATTTTTTTATTTTTTGTATATATTTTTTAAAAATAATACACGATATATATTTATTATTTTTATATTCTCATATAATTATTTATATCTCATATAAAAAGAATTTTCTTTTTAACGATCTCACAAAACAAATATAACAATGTATATGCTTACTTTCAAAACATTCTTGACAAACTTTGCTATGCTAACAATAATATTATAATTATATATAGCTCTATTAATTAATCAATTATTTATTTATTTTGTTTAAATGTGCAATCAACTTTGTCCATAAAATATTGGTGGGATCATAAATTTATAATTAGTGCACATTTATTTTATTTTATTTATTTTTTTATGACGTAGAAGGTTTGGCTTTGGGTAAATTTGACAGAATTTAATTGGCCATTTAATAGTTTGCCAATTAAATTCGACAAGTTAAGACACATTCTGCGCATATTTATAATGACATGCATGTGATTAATTAAAATATGTTGACAATTAGCTAATAGGCAACAAATGCAGACACATATATATATATATATATATTTAAGTTTATAATTATGGGTGTGTTTATTTTGATGAGTTTGAAAAAAATAATATTTGATAAAATATTTTGTGAAAGGAAAAAATATATATTTTTTAAAAAATGCAGAGTTCAATCTATGATTTCTTTTGCAACAAATGCTTATATGAAATCAAAGTTATGTTCCTTTTAAATTTGCTTTGTGGGGGTGTGTGTTTTAATTTAAATAGTTTAATATAATATCTTGAGTGAAACCATTATATTTTTATTAAAAATTACAATAATTATATAATGAAAGGGAAAAAAAAAATGCAAACATTCTAAGACTTGGGAGACATTTTCTAGCGTTACTTGTTGATTAAGAATTAAAAAGAATTAATTTTATTAACTAAAAAAATATTCCTCGAGCGATTTTTTCTTTCTTCTTTTTGTTTTTTAACTTTTAGATTTTGATTTGAGTTTAGTAAAATAATACTCCTTTCATCTATAAAAAAAACTGTATATTTTTGGCATGAATTTTGATAAATATATATATATATATATATGTATTTTTATTTATCTTTATTTTTTATGATAATTTTTTTTTTTAAATTGTATGTTTTTCTACTAAATAAGAATATAATACTACATTCGTTCGACTCTAAGAGTCTCATTTATTTTTTGTGTTTATATTTGACTCTTAATTATTATATTAAAATGTAGTACAAATTAAGAAAAAAATTATAAAAGTACTTTCTTATAATACTAATGTTGGGTATTTAATTAAATAGATAAAAGAGGAATAAATTATTTGTCCCACATTTTATTTGATTAATATATTTTATTTGAATAAATAAATAAATAAATAATAATTGTTGCAACTAAATGTAGACGTTGGCGCACGTCATTAAATACAAAATAAATTGAAAAATATATATGTATATATTATATTTTCCTCCCATTTTGGATGAAAGATGTAATATCAATTCCACTGAAAATTTCTCTTCCATTCTAATTCGGTTTGCGGAATCTGATATTTCGTTGATAATTCGTTTTATTTTCGGAGGCGATCGGTGGAGGACTGAAATTGCTTCAAGGAAATTGCGTGCCACACGAGACTCGGATTTGATTTTGCATTTATCTGATTTTGTATTTTCGGATTTAGCCGTATCTCAGATTTCACCAAATTAATTTTTCAACAATCTTGAAGCGAATTCCCGTGAAATCTGTGTTGGCGTGGAAGAAATTCGGAGGTGTCCAAACATGGAAGAGGATCGGGGTCTCATACTGCGGAACTTCCTGGACATCTGCAAGGATGGGGAACTCTCCACTGTGGTACCTATGGCTGGTCTGCTTTTAGCATAGACAAAGTTCACATTACATGTTGGATCTGATATCGCTTTATATCTTGGTTTTATTGGCGCAGATGGGGATGAGAATGAGGAGGTTAACTCCAGCTAGTTTTACACTTTTGTTCTCTATATTGCATGACCTCAACCACCCCCGCCCAAACGATTAGGCAGCCAAGAGGCCTGCTACCGAAAAAGCTGCGCAGGTAGCGTAGTATGAACAGGTCTTCAAGGCCGCGACGGAAGGAGCGCAACTTGTTGTTGCAATCTCCAACTAGTCTGTTGTTAAATAATAATAATAATAATAATAATAATAATAATAATAATAATAATAATAATAATAATAATAATAATAATAAAATTGGGATCCTATTGATATCCGTGTAAGACAGTCCGTTGTTGTGCTGCCTTGTTCGCAACATATGGCTCCAAGACCTACGGAGGGTCTCGTTGCATCTACCAAACAACAACCATATGACTTGGCATACAGCCTGTTGCTGTTGCGGACCATGTAACACAGCATCTTGCTGCAACTTTCAAGCAGCTTGTTGCTGCGGCAATCGAGAAGCCAAAAAAATTCAATGGGCAGAATTGTAAAATATGGCAGCGGAATATGTTATATTATCTGACCACGCTGAATGTACATATTGGCTAATGGAGGCTGCACCTGTTATGCCGGAACGACCTCAGAAGAAAAAAAAAAAAAACACGAATTTTGAAAGTCATGAAACACTCAAATTTGATGTGCAAAAAATTATATATTGAATGGCTTAAGCGACTCCCTATACCGGTGTCTGTCGGTATGCATTAATGGCTAAGCAACTGTGGTAGATGTTGGAGAAGAGGCGAAATGAATTCGTCACTCTTTTGAGAACATTCTAGAATAAGACAAACTTGTCCCTGCCATAACCTTTTACTACGATAGTAAATCTGTTATCGGCAAAGTATAAAGTAAATGTACAATGGAAAGAGTTGACACATTCGCCGTCGACAATTCCATAAAATAACTGAACACAACTAAGGTTATTACGATAGACCATGTTGCGTCAAAAGATAGCCTAGTGGATCCGCTAACCAAATGGTTAAACCGTGATGCAGTTGAGGAAAAAGTTTTATAAAGAAAAACTCAACCTAAAAAGATTGGACATCCCAAAAACTATGTTCAATATGACAACCTACCTATAAGACTTATGTATGTCACTGTGGGGGCTAATAGTCTCGACCCATTCCTGTCAACGGAAAGTGACATAATAGGGAGGATAGCAAATAATTGTTTTGATGATCACTAAGTAAGTGTTGTATCACTCGAAGACTTAAAAAGATCATTTCTGTGAGAGAGAAGTGGGGCCGCTTCTAAGGAGAACTGTTCAGGCTCAATTCTTTAGAAACTCTCGTAGAACCAGAACGTATTCCATGGCCAAAACGGACCAAACAATAAGAATCGAACTAGAAACATGAATTCTCTGTCGGTATGTAGTCCACTTACTAGAAGATTGAATAGTTCAAGGACAACGCGTACACTGGACAATTGGTAAAGACTACATACTGTTCAAGGGAAAGTTCAAAGAAAATTCTACTTATCCTATGCAAAATTCATTTTTCTTTCTTTCATCGAGTCATCGTTTTTCTCTTTCAAGTGGGGGATTATTAGATATTTAATTAAATAGGTGAAAGAAGAATAAATTATTTCTCCTACATTTTATTTGATTAATTTATTTTATTTGAATAAATAAATAAATAAATATTCAAATAAATAGTTTGTTGCAACTAAATGCAACGTGCAGTAGACGTTGACAGTTTTTTTTCTACACGTGATTAAATAAATAAATTGAAAAATATTATATATATATATATATTATATTTTCCTCCCCTTTTGGATAGAAGATGTAATATCAATTCCAAAAATTTATTATGAAAATTTCTCTTCTATTCTAATTCGGTTTGCGGAATCTGATATTCCGTTGATAATTCGTTTTATCTTGGGAGGCGATCGGTGGAGGGCCGAATTCACTTCAAAGAAATCGCATGCCACGCGAGGCTCGGATTTGATTTTGCATCTATCTGATTTTGTGTTTTCGGGTTTAGCCATATCTCAAATTTCACCAAATTAATTTTCCAACAACTAATAGAAGGACGTGTGTACAAAAAATTATACAAATATAAGAATATTTTTAATGTTAAGTACAATAACGCTGACAAAGAAAATATTTTTAAGAGACAAATAAAAAAAAATTCAGAATACGAAAGGAGTAATTGATTTTGATATTTTGTATGAAAAATTGCACTCTATAGTAAAAATAAAAATAAAAGAAAAGAATAGCGTAATATTATGGGCTTTTTCAATTTTTTATTATACACTTTTTACAATTTTTAATAAAAAATATTATATTTTATTTTTTTAAAGATGTGTAACATTAATTTTCGTATAAGACATTGATACCCAAGTGAAAATAAAATAAAAATACAAGGTGTGTGCTTTTGGTGTTTTAATTTTTGTTTTTTAATAAAACAATGATATTCTATTTTTATATAGTAAAATGATTCTAAAATTTTTTAAAGAGAATGTAATCAAATAAAACAAATCCTTATTAATATTCAATTTATTTATTTATTCTAAAACATTTTTATTTGAATAATATATTAAATAATCGTTTTTCTTTGAAAATTTATATTTTTTAAAAAAAAATCACAAGATTTTTTTTTTTTTTTTTTTTTTTTTTTTTTTTATGACGTGGGAACCTGCAGCCGTTACCTGAAAGTGCGCACTGGGTAAATCCCCGATCGAATCTAATACCCTGCAAATCAGACCCGACAAACAAGTTACACTAGGCGAATCATATGTGACATGTGACCTAAGGCGTCCGGGGTTTGAACCCATAACCTTACGGTCATGATCCAAACCCCCCACAAGAAAAAAAAAACCCCTTTATTAATATGTTAGGTAAGCCTAATTTTTAGTGTATTAATGTGCATTTATTTTAATTGGAAATGCATTGGCAAGATGGTAATACAAATAAGAGTAAATTGTAAAATACGATGTTTTAGATAAAAATGATACATCAATAAGTATAATTTTCTTTTTCCCTCACAAAATGATACATCAAAATATTTTTTAACATTTAATTGTATACATATATACATACATACATATATATTGTTTTATTATTATTATTATTATTATTATTATTATTATTATTATTATTTCAAATACAAATAAATATCATTCAGCATATATAAATAAATGTCAATGAAATTATACTAGTACTATATTTTTTAAAATAAAATATTATTTAAATTAAAATTCAATTTCGATCAAAACCAAACATACCATTAGTGTTGATGGAAAAGAGTGATTGGCCACTGAAGAAAACAAGTTTAAATGGGATTTTTCTGCTAATTAATGGATTCTTGTAATTATAGTTAAAATACAATGTCAAATAAATCACTACAATTTAAATAATGCACTAGGCTGTCTTTGAATGTACTGTATTCGCATTTTTCATCATATATATATATATATATATATTAACAAATTATATTTAAAAAATATTATATTTTATTAAAAAGTGTATATAAATTTTTTTTATTTCAATTCAAATTTTTATTATTTTTTTCTTATAAGCAATTCAATATTCGATGGCATAAACTAATTGTTGAACCTACGGTCTAAATAAGACCAACTTTAAAAAGAAAAAGTAAAGGCAATAATAATAATAATAATAATAATAATAATAATAATAATAATAATAATAATAATAATAATAATAATCTTACTTAAAACCAGTCACTGCTATGGTTTGATACCCCTTGTTTATATTAAATATTTCAATCCCAAATACTTTAATAAGAAATATCATAAATATTTAATTATGTATTTATACATTTATAGAAAATTATAATAATTGGATGCTTAAAACAAAAAAAAGAGAAAAGATGATGACAAAATGAACACAATTGAAAAGTTTTAAAAATAATAAAACTTTAGTATGATATTTTATAAAAATAAAATAAATATTTATTATAATATTTTTGCAAAATAATACTGTCATAAACAAAACTTTAGATCCATATAAATTAATAAAATGATTAAGAGGAGGGCACTAAGACAAAACAGGCAACAAGTTTTAGCCTGTTTAGTAATTAAATATATAAATAAATAAATATTATATATATATATATATATATTTCCGCACTAACAAAGGTGAGTGGAAAATCGACGTCAAATGTAATAATATATATATATATATATATTCATCTACCACTTCTTGATCCACTAAGGGTGTGTTTGTCTGCGATTTGGATTTTGAGTTGAGATTTAAATTGTAAAAATTTTGAATTTGAATAGTGATATAAACAGGTGTTGATATGATATTTTGAATGTAAAATTAATTTTTAATATAATATAAAAAATAAAAAATAAGTATTTAATTTAATAATCTTTTTTTAAAAAATAAGATGAATAATATATTTAAAATTCAATCCTCCAAACAAACACACCAACATCGTGACTTTATAGTTAATATATGGAACTTTTGTATTGGTTTTAAGAAGTTTTTGGGTTTTTGTTTTAAAAAAATATTTATTTGTATTTGGATTAAGATGATTATATATATTATAGTAGTGTAAAATAAAGAAAAACAATAAAAGTTATAAGATATTTTCAATTAAAAAATACTCCATCCGTCCCACATACTATGTCCACGTTGTCGTTTCTGTCCGTCTTGCATTTTCATGTCACTTTTATTTTTCGAGAAATGATTACACACTTTAATCTCATTTTAAACTTTTTAATTTTTTTAATTTTAATTAAATTAATTAGTTATCTTAATTTTAATTTATAATTATTTATATTATATAATAATTATTTTCACTAATATATTTTTAATTATTTAATAATTATACCCCTAAAATACCGTGTCTACGGTATAGCAGACACGGTACATGGGATGCGACGGATGGAGTAATAAGTAACAAAAGATTTAAAACAATATTATGCTTATGTTGGGACATGACGGCCCTTGAAACAAAAATGGCTAGTCATGTTCTATATATTCTCCTAATAAAAGTACAAAATTTAAAGTTGTCCACTAGGTTTTCTTGCCTCCCATAGAATCTAATAATGAACTTGAAGATTCCAAATTTATGTCTTCCTTTCATTTCATTCCTTTACATATGTATATATATATACATACACCATGAAAGTAGTTCATCACTTTGTGCCAAAACACCAAAATTTAGTACAAAATACTAACTTGTATTGGTTATTAGGTAGTAAGAGATGATAGGTTTAGGAGATGCATACAAGGTTGTGGTTGCGACGGCGCCGTTGTACGTCGCGTTGGGTTTAGGTTATTGCGCCGTGAAATGGTGGGGGATGTTCAAACCCGACCATTGCGACGCAATCAACCGTTTCAATTGCTACTTCGTCATCCCTTTTTTCAATTTTCATTTCGTAATGGCCATCGATCCCTATAAGATGAACTACCGGTTCTTGGCCGCAGATGTTGTCGCTAAAACGCTCGTCGGTTTAGCTTTGGCGCTCTGGATGAAAGTTTTTAGGGGAAAAAATTTCGCTTGGGCTATTACTACTTTCAATATGTCGTGCTTTAACAATACTTTAGTGGTCGGTGTGCCTTTGCTCGAGGCCATGTACGGTCCACCGGGAAAAGATCTTGTGGTGCAATCGTCTGTTATCCAGGCTATTATCTGGTTTCCTCTTCTTTTATTTTTGTTTGAATTAAATGGCGTTGTTCGTTTGTCTTCTGATGAAAGTTGCAATAATTCTACTGATTTTGGTCTCAAACAAACGCGAGATATGGAGAATGATTCTGTTGAGATTGTGTTGGCAGAAGTCGAGGGTAATTCAACTGTTGTAAGTATATTTGATGATAAGAATGATTCTAAAGTAGTCTCGTCTTCGTCGCCTTTGCCACCATCGTCATGCAATTTTGTATCAACCATGAAGAAAGTTACGATGAAGCTTGTAAAGAATCCAAATTGTTATGCTTGCGTTCTTGGCTTGGTTTGGTCTCTTATGGCGAAAAGGTACGTAACTATCAACGTGCATGCACAACTTTTATTTTTAAGTATGTCGATTTTTATTTTTATTTTTTGAAATATATTTTGATAAATGTCGCGATATATGAAGGTGGAATCTTGAAATGCCGAGCATAATCGAAGGTTCGATTCTAATAATGTCCAAGGCGGGAAGTGGAGTAGCAATGTTCTCGATGGGTATATAATTTTTATTATATTTTAAGTCTAACGTTGTATTTCTTCAGTAAATTTTTTCAAATTTATTATGTAGATTATGTATTTTTTTAAAATATATATATTTCTCACAAAATATTATTTAAATATAAAATTCAAATCAAATCTTTGATACATTGTGTTTAGGACTTTTTATGGCGCTGCAAGAAAAGGTGATCGCATGTGGCGTAAAATTGACAACATACGGCATGGTTTTGAGATTCGTGATTGGTCCACTGACTACGCTCGTCGGGTCTCTTGCGTTGGGGTTGAAATCCCGGGTTCTTCAAATCGCAATTATGCAGGTTTTAAAAATTTTGATACTATTCATTAATAATAATTTTTTTTTTTTTAATATCACATCAATTATATATATATATAAAACGTCGCAGTAACAATTCATGTCGATTTCCTTAGGCGGCTTTACCACAAGCAGTCTCGTCTTTCGTCTACGCGCAAGAGTACAACATGCATGCAAGTGTACTTAGTACAGCGTATGTATTTACTTACATTCAATGAAATATTTGTACCATACCTAATTTTTTAAAATAAATTTAATTATTTTTTTTCAGGGTTATTTTCGGTACGATCGTAGCTCTTCCTCTATTGATTGGCTACTATGGAGCCTTAGACTTGGTGCTCTAATGAATCTGCCAAACTTGATACCTTAGGGAAAAGTACTTTTATTTCATGTATGACTTTATTTAATTTCATTTAATGTAATAAAAATCAAGCATTTATGAGCATGGACGGTACATGAGATTAGAGGATCTCAGTTCTCAAAATACAACGTAAAAAAAAATAAAATCATACTCTTTCAATAGATGGTCACGTTTACTTATTAAAAATATCTTTTTATTTATATATATATATATATTTACAAATATTCTTCTGTTAATATTATAAGAACAATAATTGAAGTATTTTTGTAATTTTTTTTTAATTTATACTATATTTTGATATAATAATTCATATTTAAAATCAACACACAAAAAATAAATAAAACTTTAAAATCAGACTAATGTAGTATATTTTTTATTATTTTGCCCTCTTTCAATTCCAGTTCAATATAATAGATATATTTTTTTTTTTATCATATTCGAATTACACTTAGTTATTCAATTTTCTAAATAAAGTAATTTATATATATATATATCAAAATATCACTAATTTTTACAAATATATATATATATTTTATATTTATGAGAGAAAATATCAAAATTTCTAATTTACTACCACCGATCAATAAAATACTACTTCTTCCATCCACCGAATTTGAAATAAAGTATTATTCTTTAATATATAAAAAGTAAAATGATATTTTGAGTTTGATGGATGAAATATTATTTTTTCATATGAAATTTCATTATAAAAATTAATATAAAAACTTATTTATTTAAGAGTGTGTATGTTTAGTGTTTTAAGTTGAAGGGGTTTTTTTTTTTAATGAAAAATCATATTAACAATGTAAAAAAATGATATTTTGTGTTGAATATTAATTTTGTTGGCACCAAATTTGCTCAAAAACCAAACAACAATGCAAGGAAGGTGTCGGTTATGTCTGGATCGTTGACAGAGGACCCTTCCTGATCTGCTGTAGGATCGCTTCCTTCTCCGTCGTGGCTCTCAATATTCTCCCCATTTGAAATCGTGAAGTTATGGACGGTTACGCAGGCATGTACGAGATTAACCTGTCGGAAGAATTTGTATGGCCGCATCAAACCTCTCAAAATTGCAAATCTTCTCTTTAGTACTCCAAAGGCGCGCTCCACTACATTCCGAAGTTGAGAGTGACAATAGTTAAATAGCTCTTTCGGTCCATTCGGGCCACCCAGGGTGTCGCGGAAAGTTTGTGAATAGTAACGATGGGACCGGAAATGCGTCAACGTCAACGCAGAGTTCGTATAAGCTGAGTCCCCGAGGTAGTATTTTCCTACACCATTGATGGATGAAATAAAAGCAGTATTCGGAGGAGGGAAAGCCTGGTAGGCGACGACAATAAGTAGGGGCACGTACCAGGGGGGAAAGAAAAATCCCCGGCAACGGTGATAGCATGATTAAGAACACGTGAATCGTGTCCACTTCTCTCAAACCCAGCATAAACGTAAACAAATCATATGTTGAAATCTACCACGCCAAGGACGGACTGCTCGGTATCGCCCATGCGGCTCCGAAAACATGGTGCATCCTCCGCTGGGACGGCGGCGTGTATGAGTGTCTCGTCGAGTGCGCCAACACAATCCTATTCGTTAACCAATAATTAGACTTATTGTGTGGCCACGTATATAAAGGGCGTGGATGAGATGAGGTCTACGACCTACGGTCCGGTACCTTGAAGTATGGCATGAAATGTCTATTCGTCGCAATGCGGGGATGCGTTCTATGTTGATCTTTGGGACATACAACCTCCGCCCCAAGAAGGCACAATGACTCGCTGACACGCTTAACGTGACGGAATATAGTATGCGTGGAGTGCTGAAACTGTTCTGCACTGCTGCGGTGCCGGTTAGAGTGGGCGACAGTATGGAGGAAGATAGCGACCGCCTCGTGTACACCAACTCGTGTTTGTGCTCTTGTCTTCATGAGAGCCCGCGCAGATAGAGTGTCGCATAGGTCAAGAAACGTACTCTTTGACACCCGTAGCAGATTCTTTATTCTAGCCGGGTGACCGTTAATCAGTTCTTTCGTGAATTCCGCACCACTTAGGGCCGAATCGTAACAACGTCTGCGTGCAGTCGCATTCGTGAAAGTGTTTATTGCTAATGCGCTGAGTTTCTCCATTGCATCGATGTTGTTTCCGAACATCGTGTCATCATCGGAATCCTCGTTTTCTAGTTCCGCCCCTTCATTCTCGTCGTTGTCTCTGTTCTCGCTATCACCAGATGTTTGCTCCCGCGGGCTTTGGTAGTTGTCCACATTTGGGCCATTCGAACAACTTTCTATTTCCCTTCGACACTGGTATGTGAAAATCACAATATTCAATGAACAAAGAAAAATTCAATGTAGATGTTTCTAAGCAGACAGTAACAGAGATCCCAGAAGGAAGTTGTTTACAACAAAGTTTGCGAGAAACTCAGACGAAAGACCAGGTGAGTAAACAAGGGGGAATAACGTGGACGAGTACTAGTATCAATAAGGTTAGTAACGGATTGAAATAAGCTAAGTCAAGGTCGTTATAACTCAGGTTCCTAGCGAGCGTCGCACAAATGAGAAAGCCCATGCCCGCTGCAGATCACTCGTCCATGTTAGGAATAGGAATCGTTCGTTGTTTTTGTATATCGCTCTGGCTGCCCGAAGAAATGCATCTTGTGGAAGGTCCGTGAACGTTTGCAGAATGCGCTAATCTTCGAGAAAGGTCCGTTTGTGCTCTTTGCGGTGATCGATAAGCTGCGCCCGCAACTCTTGAACTCCGCTGCGAAGCTCAGATTGAATGTGGTATGCTAACTCAGCGTTTGTCGACATACTAGATGGGCGCCGACGACGTACCGGACCCCCGGTCTGCATCGAAGAACTAGTAGGGAGTCCTTGCTTGGTGGTTCTGTTGGCATCGCCTTCACCTGTGCCGTCGTCATTCTCATGTTCGCCCCTCATCGTGGACGGCCCCGCCGATCTTGTCTCAGTACCCTCGGTAGTGTCCATGCCCCGTGGCAGTGCATTGTTGGATTGAGTACCGGCTCCTGTGGTAGACTGAGGTCCAAACATATCATGACAATAGTCGAAGTGGGCGAATGGACGCGACAGTAAATGCCCGTACCCGGGGTGTGCCTGCCATTACGCGACCGTGAGTTTCATGCTCCGGTTTTTCTCAATAATCATCGGATTAGACGCATACCGTTAGCCACGCGGCCTTCTGTGCCTCGCTCGCATCAATAAGACCCGTCTCTGCGTCCCATCCTAGCCCTATCTGTCGAACGATAAGGTCTCGGAGTAGAGCATACGAGGTTTTCATCCGCTTAAACTTTCCTTGAAGTTGTTCCAACTCGTAGTCGCACTCAGTCTCTTCATGGAATTGTGTAACTATCTGTTGTCAAACCTCCGGCGCAAAGTTACCCTTGCAAAGTTCCTCAGCTAGCCAGTGCAACCACAGGATGTGGGTGAAGTACAACTCTAGCTCGTAAGTCCAATTCACAATAGGTTTGCATGGAGCAGCAGGGTCTGCTCGTCGGCGAGGCATCTGTCGGAAGTGAAACGACAGAATGAGATACATGTCAAAAATCTAGGGAAATCAACTACTCAGGAATCGTAACGGGGGACCTATCCTCAAAGGATGTTCTTACTGATACCTTGCGTTTTCTCTTACAGCGATACAACACTCGACTGCTCCCTACAGAGCTTTCGGCGTCGGGAATTTCACAGGCGTCCAGCTTTGCACGCTTCGGTAAGGCAATAATGGAATTGCGCAGGTTAATGTGTGTTCAGTGTAAAGTGAACACGATACAACAAACTAACGCATTTAAATTTTTAGACCAAAGACAAGGGGAGGAAAGGAGACTGTTTCACCGTACTGGCTACGCATTTTTTAAGTTTGGAACAAATAAACGTACGAATGAAGCGTACGTTCTTGCCATTGTTCCTGTTGACAGTAACCACCCCACCGTAGCCTCACAACACAACCCTTTGTTGTATTGTAACGGTTCTATTCCGATGTATATACGGTAGGGATGCCCTTACCGTGCAACCCGGGAAAGCCTACAGTTAACGACTCAATTGGATATCAAAGAAACTCGATACACCCACACGTATAGGGGGAAAGATCTACAAACATGTACCTTTTACGAGTCATCTTGGTTTTTCTCACTGTTTCGAAAAGTTCACACAGCGAGGATATTAAATCTTGGTTTTTCTCACTGTTTCGAAAAGTTTACACGGCGAGAATATTAAACTACATAGATCGACACGTATGAGAAAGGTGACAACGATCACGTAAGTGATGTCGAGAATAAACTAGTCAGTAATTGTAATTACCATCACCCAACAAAAAAGACAACCACGTATTCACTCGCTCGAGGAGCCTTCCTCAACACATCCATATGTAAATTTGAGCGACAGTGGCAATCTATAGTTCCGGTATGTTTTTTTCGCAAAAGAAATGATGAAAGTGCCGGTCATCGGAGCCCTACGCACTACTACGCAAACGGAGGGGGAGAGGGCTACAACCCGGCAACTCCAATATCCGAAGACGCTCATAATTTCTCATGGATTTCGATAGTCGTTATAGCGCCCTTATAAAGCACCCCAGTTGCGAAGTCTACCCTAAACAAATATGTACTACGAATTGCAACGTGTATCTTTTTATTATTTTTTATGACTGTTGATAATGGAGGCTGCCTCATCACGACAAAGTACTCCCACTTTCACCGGTATCGTTCTATCCATGTTATTCCACAAGTTCGCCCTTATGAGACCTTAACCCAGACCCTCCTTGGCTAACGCTATATTGAAACCCTCTTTGGTACCCTTTTAATCGTCATTCTAGTTAGGTCAAGAATTAACAGATTGAAACCTTCTACCTTACACACAGGATGTCTCGCACGACAAATACCTCTCTATCACCGATTGACAACACTGAAAGCCTTAACGATGCAGATCGAAACAGATCACACCCTACTCATTCGCGATAAGTAATAGCAGACATCGAAGAGATGCGTGCCTTGATCCGTCGTCCCCTTCGAGCCTTGCCGATACTGGCCCGGGCGCCGCACACCTGAGCCTGCAACACTGCTCGCCACAGAATCATGGTCCAAATACGTCGTACCCTTCGACTCGCCGGAATTCCGTCACCTTCAAATCCGCTGATTTCGGACCATCAACTTCGCAGGGATTAGGTGCGCAATGCTGTGCGCGTAAATGAAATACGAGGGAATGGTGTGCACCCCACCAACCTCAATTAATGGTTAATTTAAAAAAATAGAAAAAAGTAAAAAATATAAATAGTCATAGTAGGCATAACAGCCTAAAGAATCTCCTCGGACGCTATTGAATAGGCATGTCAATCTTGTCATAAACTGGGGCTTCGCGCCCAAACCCGACCCACAGTAGCTGCCTAGTACATTTGTCCCAAATCGTGTTTAAGAAACACACCCAATAAACACGAAAATTACACGTGGATGGCCCCGAAGACTTGAAACGGAAAGAACAATGGCAGAGTCAACTGCTTCCAACTAAAGTTATTATTTTTACGTCAATCTTCAAATCAAACATTTGGGAAATGCTTCGCCGCAGCCATACCCTGAATCGTTGGAACGAAATTCCTATTCGACTTCCCTCAAGGGATTGATTGCATCCATCTACTGTGGAGTATTTATTGCTGCTGTGATTGGTTCGTCGGAAGGATGAGCAGCGCGGAGCCGTTGGTGGGCTATGAACCTGCGGAGCTGAATTTTTCTCGTAAGTTTCGTCTCCATCGCAATTAGGTTTTCTGTAGGCCGGCCGTTTTTTTTGCTGGAATTTGGCTTTAAAGTTGATTTGATTGGCTTTAATTTTTCCGGATTTGACCAGTTGAGCTGAACAAACAGTTGTCGTCTTCGATTCGACTGTGGAATAGAACTGACAGTCATGTGGTTTATAAGGTGAAAATGAAATGGTTTGTTTCTCGATGAGTTATCCATTTTGTGAATTTGTATGCTCGAAATTCAAGCTAGTTCGTATGGTTGATTTGTCTTCAGCTTTTGACTACAAATCCTCGAAAATATGGCGTCCGGTCGAAAGTTGGGGTTCTTCCGCCGCGATCATATTGCGACATCAGAGGTTCTTATTTGATTTTTAGTTTGGAAAGTGAAGATTGTTGAGGATTCACTTGGTTTGAAGAGTTTGTGGTTTTTTTCTGTTTTGACTTGCATTTGCTTTGGAATAGAAAAGCTTGTTTTTTTTTTTCTGAGATTAAATTTGCATATTTTGTAGTGACAACACGACCTGTGAAGGAAGCTCCATGCTGTATGAGGAGCAAGGATAGGTTCATGATTCGAAGTGCAATTGCAAGTCCTGGCACTACTGCTGAGGATGCTCAGAACATGGTATATCAAAGTTTCAGTATGAATATAATTTACTTCGATTTTAGTCCACAACTTTTTTGGCTAATGTGAGATCCAAATGAATGCAAAAATTGATGGATTTTAGCAATTCTTACAATTTGTTCTACATCTAATCTCTTTTACAATAAAGTTGTGTGATTTAATTCAATGTCAATAAGATTCAAGTTGAAGTTCAATGTGTAGTATGGGACAACCAGATGAGATAGCTTGTTGGAGTAAAAGTGAAATAAGGCCTTTTAGGAGGATCGATGATGCTAGTTTTGTGATTTTTTTTGTCACAGGTGTGATTCATATTGGTTTCAGGAACGAATAAATTTAAGTAATGTCAGTTAGTGAAAATTCTCGATGTTGTGCATGCCATATTATCACATTGCTCTTAAAGCATGCTTAAGCTGAAAAAAGGAAAAGGTTTTTTTAGATGCTAGTTGATATGTTGTATTTTGCTCCACTTAAATGGCTTGTTTTAACATTCCAATTTGAATCAATGCATACTAATTATAGCCCACAGATATTTCTGTAGCGTCGGAGCTTAATAATGCAAAAATTGATGCATTGTAGTAGTTCCTACAATTGTTTCTAGAGCTAATTCTCATTATCTTTGATGACCAAAAAGTTTGTATATTGATGTCAATTGGATTAAAATTGAAATTTAACTAAAATATGGGATTAGAGTTATAATTTTTAAATATTGGAGTAGAAGTGAATGAGGCTGCTAGGCGGATCAGAATTATTATTTCACAATTTTCTTGCAATTGTGATTCAAAATGTGTTTCAAATACATTTGATGCTTGAGCTATTTTTTCCATGTGAATATTTTAATTTTGTGCATGCTACATTTCTACTTCGTACTCAAAGCTTGCTAAAGTTGAAAAAGAGAAAGAAAGATGTTAGATAAATTATGGTAATGATTAGTAGGTTTCCACCTCTTTCGAACTTGTGTGAGAAGTAGTTGGTTGCTTTCTTTGTGCATCCCAAGTTGAAACTCAATAGAAACTCTCGGCATAATTCTGCTTTACTGGTTCGGTATTAATGATGTTTGTGTTCCAAACTATGTTTTCAAAAAAAGCTGAAAAGGTGATCAAGAACATAAATCAAGATATTTCTAATTTGTTGCATACATGTTAACTTTGTAGTTCAAGAATGGGGCAGGGGATGCTTTTCCAGTAAGCAAACTCCGAGTCGCTTACAGTTGGCCCGATTCTTCTTCTGTATCTTCGGAAGTAAATAATGTCCCTAATCTGCCACAGGTTCGAGTAGTGATAAACTATTTTCTCTGCTTTATTAACTTAATAGTAAGAGTTTATTTTTGGGCTTTCAGGTGACTACTCCTGATATAGAACCGGCTGACAATGGCGCAGAAGTAAAATATTCTATTCTCATATTTACTTACAATGTTATGAATTTGTTTGTAATTAATAGTTTAGTTTCTTTGCTTCATTAGAAAAACTTCAACAAGAGATTTATTTTTCAGTACTCCTTGCAGGTGACTATTCCTGATATGGGACCAGATGACAATGTTGCACAAGTAAACTCTTTTACTCTCATGTTTACTCACTTCAATACTGTAAACAAGGGCATTGTACTTAAACTGCCAAATCTTATCTGTCGCATTTTTTTTTTTTGGACGACTAAGGAATTCTTTTTATTGTGAGAATTGTGGTATCTTTTTTCTGTTTAGCTATGAGCTATAGCATTAGCTTTCTTGAATGCCATAGCTTAAACTATTATGTATTAGGAGAACCATGTCTTTAGGATGAAGGGTAGTCGAGTTTGTGTGGAATTATGCATATATAAAGAGTATCTTGTCCTTTCTCGAAGAATCTTTAATTATCAGTCTTTATATTGAGTTTATATATATTTGTAGCAGAATAGCCCAATGAAGCTTCTAGAATTTCAACCTCCAGAACTCAAAATTCATTGTAAGCGAATTTTTGTTTCCAGTTATGCTCAATGCCATATTGCGAACATTCGCATTGCTCATTGTATTACTGATTAATGTTAGCAGTAAATCAAGAAAAGGACAGCTCTTGCTTGCTTCAATTGTCCAATTCCACGACGGACCATGTTGCATTCAGGGTAGGTTTCTATTGTTTGAGGAAAAGAATTCAATCCAAAAATGGTGTATCGAGCCATGTCACATGTGTTTACCCTTTTATTGACTTAGTTTGATTAATTATCTGTGTTGCATGATCATCTTTAGGTAAAAACCACAGCCACATATGTAATCCAACCAAAAGAAGGAATTTTGTCACCTCAATCTACATTGGATATCACAGGTAGTCGTCTGATTGCTGTTGATTTCAATTTCATATGTTGATTTCAGTTTCATAGTGCATAATTTTACCCATAAATTTATGAATATATGAATAAACTAATACTTTTTTTAAAAAATTGCCATTGTAGTGAAAATGCAAGTCAAGGGTTCATCTAGCGTTCAGAACAACGACACATTTCTAATCCAGAGTATGGCTGTTACTGCTGCAGCATCAATGGAGGAGATAAAAGATATGGTAGTTTCTCTATTAACTTATGTTAAAATTTAGCACGAGTTTGCAATTTATAATGTGGAGATATCTTCCATTTAAGTTTTAGATTAGGCAAGTAACAAATAATGTGATTTTATTGTCTTTTTTTGCTAGTTTGATAAAGCAAGCTCTCCTATTGAAGAGTGTGAACGCCGAGTACTTGTCAGCTCGGACGAGGAAAATAAGAGCGCCGATCAACAGTTCGAATCAATTTTACGCGGCTTCATAATTTGCTCATTGATTCTGGTTTTTGGCTACATCTTGAAGCAGACACTAACATGGATCTGGTATTTAACTTCTGAACTATTCTCTGTTTAAACATCACATATGGAGTATCCTCTCTCTTTCCTTTTTCGGATGAGTACTTTCTTAGATATATATATATATATGTATATATGTTTTTCGTCATTTCTTTGAGGATTTCTTCATGAGGAATTGCACTATGCCAATTCTTATATTGCATTTATATTATGACAACATAAATGTTATATATATATATATGTTTTTCTTCATTTCTTTGAGGATTTCTTCTAAGAGGAATTGCACTCTATCGGTTCTTATATTGCATTTATATTATGATAACATAAATGTTGTGTTGTCTATTAGCAAAATACGGATATATCTTGTGCTCGCTTTTTTTTTTCGTGTGTTATTCGTCAATAACTGAATAAATTTGTTCAGCACTAGAAACCTCCTAAAATTATATGTTTGATGAACATCTATTTCTCATTTGCATTAATAGGCTCTCATATCATCGATATTATTTTTTTTTTTTTTTCAGGAGTTTGGCAGTGGTGGTGACGATGTTGATAATAAACATGACGATAAAATTTATAAACAAGTTGGTCTCGGATTCTGTCGAAGACTTGATCGTGAAGACCCTTTTCTCCATCATCATGTATGCATGGGCACACGCGAGTCCTATGATACTACATCGATGGACATCTAGATTCATGACAGCATCCATGTCGAATGAAAAATGAAAATGATGCGTAGACTCGAGCATTTCTGTTTCAGACATCAACAGAATTCAGCAACCTTTGCCATAACAAAATGGCGCGGCTGCTGCGCGTGTACATCAACCATATATCGTTCGGGCTTGTCGAACCCGGAGTTGTTGATACTTTGTAAATGTTTTTCTTGTAAATTATACATGTTGTTGTGCAAATTACGAGCCCTGCTCATTGTAAAAGTCAGCCGAGGGCATAAAAGATAGTTTGTGATAGAAATTTACATGGTTTTGAGATTTTATTTTAAATTTTATTTTATTTATTTTTTTCGGGGTTTATGTAGAGATTAGGGGAAGGTTTTACTTTTAATTTGGAATAATTTTTGTTGTTTGAATACATGGTAATAAAAACACATATAATCTCAAGACGATATTATATACCACAAAGAGAACATATGCTGCTTTTTAATTTCTATTACGTTTTAGTATTACTTGCACTAATTATAATTTTATATTTATACGGATCATTTCTTACGGTTTTAGATTTAATTATTCAAAAAAATAATTAAATTGAGTAGGAATATTTAATTAAGGAATGGCCTGATCTTGTAATAGTGAAACAAGTATTTCTTCATATATTTTGTAATTGAACTATTTTTAGTAAAAAAATATATATTATATTATTATTATTTTACAAAAATTTACATCTTAAATCAAAATAATATATAATTCAAATAAAAAACTTTAAAAATATGTTTATAATAATATAATACTACGTATATTTATTAATCTTTTCCAATTTCCATACATAAACAGAATGAAATAATAAAATGGGAAGGGATTGGGTGCTGATTCTAAAAAATTAGCACCCGTGCTGATAGTGTAAAAATTAGTTATACTAATTTGTTTTATTAAATTATATAATTAATGTAATTATATGTAATCACATTTATACTATCAGTGCTTATTTTTTAGAATCAGCACCCAATCCTCTTCTAAAATAAAATAGCTAATTATAAGATCTATTTATGGGATAAAAATATTTAATCTTATATGGTAATATAATAACAAAAAAGTACATACTATACTAAATATAATACATTAAAAAAAAACTAAAAAAATTAAAAATAAATTAAAAACTAAAAAATTAAAAATTAAAAATAAATATAACAAAACCGAAATTCCAGTATAGAAAATTGATTGAGTTTGTTTATTTAGTATTTTGATTTGACTTTTTTTATGTAAAATATAAAAATAGTTGATAATATAAAAAATAATATGTTATATTGAATATTAATTTTTATAAAATAATAAAATATCTATATTGATAATCATGTCAAAAAAATTGTATTATTACTATAAAAAATAATTTTTTGAGTTAAATTATCAATTTTTATAAATAAACAAAATATATATTATTGCATAAGTATATATATACTTATATTTTATCGTCATAAAAAAAAAAAATATAATACACTTATAATTGTTAATAAAAAGTTTTTCATACTTTATAAATTAGTACTATTATTATATATATATATAAACCCTAAAATAATACTCTCACTATTGTTAATTTGTTATACATCAGTATGAATCTGGACCGTTGATTTACTGGGCCCAATCTTTGACGGTCAAGATTGATTCCGGTGTTGATCCCGCGGTGCTCCGAAGCATATCCCAATAAGGATGAATGATTAAGGATAAGGCTACCCAATATTATATAAATACCCTTTCTTGGAAGCCAAAGTCTCCATCTTTTCTTCAATCCTACCCACAATTTCCTAAATTTTTTATACTTCGCCTTCTCCACCGGCAGGTTCGTTCCTTTGCGTGTTCAATCTGCAGAATTTCTGATAAATTTTGTTGTTATAAGATCTGCGTTACTGTTTATTTTGTGCGGAACCTATTTGCTTGGATGATTTGTGCTTAAGTTTGTTCTTTAGGGATTTAATGGCCCGTGGTGGGAAGTGTGTTGCGTAATTTTTCTAGGTTGCGTAATTTTCGGGTTTTTGTGCTCTTGGTGTTGCTGATTAGTTTTTTAGGGTTTTTTTTTTATGGTTGGGGTTTTGTAAATTTTAAGGTAAATAATTGATTTTGTTAGTTGGATTGATTTGGATTGTTGTCTCTTTGAGATTGTGGATTCAAACTGATTTTTTTGTGTCCTTTCAGGATTTCGAAATTTGAATTTGTGCAGTGATAGTGGAATGGCGAAGAGTTCATTCAAGCAGGAGCATGATCTTGGTTTGTGTTCGCGTTTGATCACTTTGAATTCGATATATATATATATATTTATATGAGTTGACTTATTATAAATTTCAGAGAAAAGGCGTGCTGAGGCTGCTCGGATTAGGGAAAAGTATCCAGATAGAATTCCGGTGAGAATTCGGTAAATCGTTTGGATTTTACTTAGGATGGAGGTTTCTTGTATCTATTTTTGGTGTGTGTTTATTTTATTTTCTAATATTATTTGCTTGCTCGATGTCGAATTAAGCTTCTTGTTCTAAATGTCTACTTTCGCGGATCAGTAGAGTAACATGGGTATATGAATTTGTGGATTTATTAGTTCCTGTTTGATAATCTGTGGTTGTTTAGTGTACCTGAGAGCAAAGATGTGTCTAATTCTTATGTTAACCGTAGAAATGGATTTCCCATTTGATTCGTCTGTCGAGGAGATGAATTTCGTATGTTAGATCCCAAGCACCGTATTGATATATCAAGTGATGTATTGAGATTGTGCATTATATTTCTGAATTGGATGGATTATGTGGTACAGAAGATTTCTGAAATCTGTTATACAGTTCTTTAATTTTTTTTGTTCTTTGAGTTTTTTGGGATTGGTCTGCTGCTCGATTACATTTTCTAGTTATGTATGATAATGTTGGGTTACGAGGTTAGGTTTTCTCAATCATCCTTAGGAAAAAAATTCGATTACTTGATACAATTATCTTAGGATAATTGAAATTGATTTTGAGATTTGTTTCTGTGAATTAAAGCCTCTGTTATGTTTTGACTTATGTAACAAATTCAATTATTGTTTATGACTGCCGTAAAATGTAGTCATTGATAATATGGAGACTGTTGGTAAAAAGTTACCTTCGAGTGTAGAGCTTTTAAATATTTTGAAAATTGAGGACAAAGCACGGTGCCTTGGAAAGTTATGTATGCTAATATATAATGTCTTTAAGTTAACCCCACAAAATAGCACCAGGTTGTTGAATATATGTTTTGGGTAATTAATCGAAATGTGTGAATTATCCATGGTTGAACTGCAAGTGCTCATTTTAGAGAATTTGTTTGATACAGTATCCTTCTAAAATTGTCTTGGTTGTTGCTCTAAGATGATGTTCGATTGTTTGTAAAGTACATTCATTCACCATCCCACAATTTTTATTTTTTTTCCCTACGAACATTGAAACCAATTTGTTTGTATATATTAATGTAGGTGATTGTGGAGAAGGCCGAGAGGAGCGAGATCCCCAACATTGATAAGAAAAAGTAAGTATTCTCTCGAATACATTTACCGATGGAAGTTTTGGAAGTTGAAAATTTTGAAAATAATAAAAATCTAGTATTTGATGCGATCTTTTGTGAGAAAGAAAATGTTGTATTTGACCCGGGATCATATTTTAGTGTGTAGAAGTTGAAGAAAAATCTTATTGTGGATCCAATTTAAGCTAATATTATTTGCTCGGTGAATTATCTTGTTGCTAAATCCGAAAATCAGTTTACAATTAGAAGTCGGGATAATTTCAACCTTACCTATACGAAGAATTTCAGGTACCTTGTTCCAGCTGACTTGACTGTTGGACAGTTCGTCTATGTTATTCGCAAGCGAATCAAACTTAGCGCGGAGAAGGCAATCTTCATATTTGTCGATAATGTCCTGCCGCCGACTGGTAAGAAATTATATTCGCTTAGTTGGTCGATGATTAAGAATTTTTTACATTAAACCTTGTGGGTTCATGCGCAGGGGCAATAATGTCGGCCATATACGATGAAAAGAAGGATGAAGACGGGTTCCTATACGTAACCTACAGTGGGGAGAACACGTTCGGGCATTAGATCGATCGATTTGTGCCGTAAAATTCGAAAAGTTTTATTTCTGACAATTAATAAAAATAAAATTGATTTGGATTGATGGATGGTCTTGTACAGGAGGATGATACATTTGTGTATAGTCTCTGAACCTTTTAACTGTGGAATTCTGTCAAAGATTTCAACATTTTATGGTAATATGAATCAAATAATTATTTTCTCATTCTTTGTTGTGTTAATTTTGTTATGAGATTTTATTTTATTTTATTTTTATTGTTTTTTTGGTCTCTTCTTTGTCAATATATTCTTATATGGAATTTATATAACATATATATTATAGTATATAATTGATTTATAGTAAATAATTTTATTATTTTTTAATAAAATTTTATAATATTTATATTTTATTTTTACTTATATTATTTTTATATTATAATAATATTTCTTTTTAATCTTCATTTTCAAATAAATAATATAGTTAGTTGGAACATGATTATGGGTTTTATTTATCTTGATATATTTTAATCTTTATGATTTAATTAAAAAAAAAAATCACATTAAATATGGTTTGAAAAGCATAGATTGACGGACCAATCAATTACCTAATTCAATAATAATGTTGTTCACTTTATTTATTTATTCATTTTTGCTTTAATGAAATGGAAGACTTATATATATATATATAAATATTTAGAAAAAGATAGTTTTTTCTCAAACTAAACGATTTTTTACGAATGTATTTGGATATATATATACATATGGTGTATATATTTATTTTCTCCATTTTATAGGAAAATAATAATTAAATATGATATCTTAAAAGAAATTTAAAAATTAAATAGTAAAAAAAAGTGAAAAAAAAAAAACACACACATGAGAATGAATTCATTGTATTCAAAAAAAATTTAATGCTTAAAAAAAATTTGAGAGTTATTTTTTCTTATCGACTTATTCACTGCTTTAATTTACACATAGGGCATGTTTGGCAATGATAGCGGTTAGCTGATTCAATTAACTGGTTTGACTAACTGATTCGATTAGCTGTTTGTATTAAAATGTTCGGTAAAACAACTGTTTGATGTTAGCTGTTTATACGTAAAATGACAATCGATGACATTTCTATTTTATTCTTGTTTCTAGTATATTCAATTATGTTCTTTTTAGTTTAGAATGTTTAAAATTTTTTGTTATTAGTTATTGAAAATTGTAAAAGTGTTATAAAAGTATTTATTTTTATTACAATTAGATTTAAAAAATAATATATTTTTATTAAAATATATAAATATTTTTTTTTATTGAAAATGATGTAAAATATAAAATAATAAATTTTTCGTGTATATATTTATTGTGTTAGTTATCTATTAGTTCATTATATTTATAATTTTCAATAAATATTTTATTTTTAGTATAAAATTTATATAATGTAATTTATAAAAAAATAAATTATTAATATTATATTTTTTATTTTATGTTGATTTTAATAAATTTATATCTTTACAATTAAAATAATTTTTATATAAAAATAATATTATTTAAATTTATAAAGTAAAACTATAACATAATAAAATATTCTTATATAATTAATAAATAATCAAAATATATTTATTTGTGTAAAATGTATAATAAATTTTTAAGGGCATATAAGGAATAAAATTTTTTTTTACAGAAAGCTATTTCAAAACGCTGGTAAATTAGCTTTTCAGAAATTAGCTTTTTTGGTCCAAAAAGCTATTCCAAAAAGCTAATTTACCAAACACCTAAATTAGTTTTTTGACTGGTCAAACACTTAAAACTTGTTCAATAAGCTAAAAGCTCTTCAAAAAGCTATTGGCCAAACACCCCATAGTAAACTTTTTGCAAATCCTCGCCAAGATAATACGCACATTAGTTTGGTAGCCATCGGAAATTTTGAAGGAAAAATCGAAACAAATGGCATAATAGTCTTGCTATGTCGTCATTGTAAAAAAATTGTAACGTACATGTTCAAATAATATTTACCTTCTATTTTGATACTAAGTCATAGAAATCAACGAGATCTTTAAATTGCGTATACAACTACACATTTCGTCCTAAATTGAGTATTTACTATTCAAATTTTTTGCATTTTTTATTTACCTATAGTTTTTCTTTTTTTATTCGTTCTAAATACAATTTACAAAACCATCACAAACAAAATATAAGAATATAATTGTAAAATATATATATATATATATCAAATTTTATAGTACTATATAAATAATACTCAAGCAAAGAAAAAAAAAAGTACAAATGTAGTAATAGTTAAATAGTACTTTTATATTTAGAAAATCCACAAATAAACACACAAAAGTTATTTTTTTCGCACACAAAAAAGTGCATTTTCCTCACGGGGTTGTATACTGTAGAATGATTTGCCCAAGAAATGCATCAATTTATTTAAACTTGTACACTAATATCTGTTATAATTAGTTGAATAATATATATATATATATACTTAAAAAATAAAATTTATCTGATATTATTGATAATTACTATTCAATCTATTGAGTAATTTTCAGTTTATATAATTTTTAAAATGCTCTTACATATATGTCACTCATGTCGATGGTGACTTCGATCGACCTTCGATCTCTTCTAGTTTCATCGAACTCACATTTTAGAAGAGGACAAGTCAATGAACAATAGTATTTTGTCGGGTAATTTTTTAACATTGTTCGAACACAAGTTACTTTTGTTTGAATAAAATTGTTGCATAATTGTGGCAAGTCACTTGCTCATTTTGTTGTATTTTTTTTTTTTATTTATGCTTGGATCAATTTTATTTATGTTAGTTCCCATTGAATTCGACCATTTATGAACTATAGTTTATCATTATGGAATATTATAAATTATAATACTTGTTTTTTATTAAAAATGATCTTAAATATTTGATTTCAACTCAAATTAAGTTTTATTTAAAATATTTGTGCATGCAATTGTTGATTGTAGTTATATAGCATGTTAATAATATGCGGACAATTATATTGTTGATTCACCGTGCTAATAATACGAAAATATATACAAATTAATGCATCATGTATAAATCTACAATATATATAAATTAAAACTAACATCACATACTAACAATTTATACCCATGTATTATCTGTTACCGATACATCCTTAATCTCATCATCCTAACAATAGTGAAACATTAATATGCTCAATAATCTATCGATATTTTCATCAGAGAGAGAGAGAGAGAGAGAGAGAGAGCGAGAGAGAGAGAGAGAGAGAGAGAGAGAGAGAGAGAGAGAGAGAGAGAGAGAGAGAGAGAGAGAGAGAGAGAGGAGAGAGAGAGAGAGGGAGAGAGATAGAGAGAGAGAGAGAGAAGAGAGAGAGAGAGAGAGAGAGAGAGGAGAGAGAGAGAGAGAGAGAGAGAGAGAGGATGAGAGAGAGAGAGAGAGAGAGAGAGAGAGAAGAGAGAGATCGAGAGAGAGAGAGAGAGAGAGAGAGAGAGAGAGAGAGAGAGAGAGAGAGAGGAGAGAGAGAGAGAGAAGAGAGAGAGAGATAGGCGAGAGAGAGAGAGAGAGAGAGATAGAGAGAGAGAGAGAGAGAAGGGGAGGAGATAGAGAGAGAGAGAGAGAGAGAGAGAGGAGAGAGAGAGAGATAAGAGAGAGAGAGAGAGAGAGATGAGAGAGAGAGAGAGAAGAGAGAGAGAGAGAGAGAGGAGAGAGTCGAGAGGAGAGAGAGAGAGAGAGGAGAGAGAGAAGAGATGAGAGAGAGAGAGAGAGAGAGAGGAGAGAGAGAGAGAGAGAGAGAGGAGAGAGAGAGAGAGAGAGAGAGAGAGAGAGAGAGAGAGACCGAGGAGAGAGAGAGAGAGAGAGAGAGATAGAGATAGAGGGAGAGGCGAGAGAGAGAGAGAGAGAGAAGAAGGAAGAGAGAGAGAGAGAGAGTACAGAGAGGAGAGGTATAGAGAATAAGAGAGAGAGAGAATAGAGTAGAGAAGAGAGAGCAGAGAGAGAGAACGTGAGAGAAGAGAAGAGAGAGAGAAGAGAGAGCGAGAGAGATACTAGAGAGAGGAGAGAGAGGAGAGAGAAGAGAGAGAGGAGAGAGAGAGAGAGAGAGAGAGAGATAGAGAAGAGAGAGAGAGATAGAGAGACAATAGAGATAGAGAGAGATAGGAGAGAGAGACAGAGAAGAGAGAGAGAGAGAGGATAAGAGAGAGAGAGAGAGAGAGAGAGAGAGAGAGAGAGAGAAGAGACAGAGAGAGACATAGAGAGAGAGGAGAGAGAGAGAGAGAGAGAGAGAGAGAGAGAGAGGACAGGAGAGGAGAGAGAGCTACAACGAGGAGAGAGAGAGAGAGAGAAGAGAGAGAGAGAGGAGAGAGAGAGAGAGAGAGAGAGAGAGAGAACACATTAAAAAGTACACACAACTTCAAGTTTGGAGAACTTATTACAACAAATCCAAACTACATAACAACCTTACACCATTGATTTTTGTAAATATATATATATATATGACTTGTACTTTATTCTTCAATGAATCTCAATACATAGGAAACAAGAACTTACCAAGAACACCAATCTTGCACCACCACAACTCACAAGAACATGAGTGATACATAGAGATACATACATACATATGACATATATATATAGAGAGAGAGAGATTAAGTTTTAGGCACAAACAAAGCCTTTAGGGACACTCTTGGAGCAAACATTGAGAAGCAAGGAGAGTGAAAGAGGCACATTAAGGTTGATGCCCAATACATTGGCTTTGATGGCGGTGCAGAGGCAGACGGCGGCCTCGAGGTCAGCTAGCCCTTCAATCAGGCGGCAGCACGGCTTCTTCGGAGGGTTTCCCACCGTCACGCCAATCAAACCACCGAGCAAGTTGGCACATACGCCGAGTTTTAGGGCATCTCTAGGGCAATAACCCTTAGGTTGCTTCGGCTTAGGTTTAGGGCCCGGGCACGTGCCACAGGCGCTCGAGAGAGTGAAGAAGACGAGGTTGAGGACGAGGAAGATGATGAGGGATTTGTTCTTGGAAGCCATTTTAATTAGTTTTGATATAAGAAGGTTTTTTTTTGGTATGTTTGTTTGATTAAAAGAGGGTTTTTGGGATGAAATTGTTTAGGGGAATGAGTTGTATTTATAGGAAAAATGTTTAGAGTGATGGTTTGGCAATTAGGGTGTGTTGGGTTTATGATTTTTGTGTGTTTGTGAATTTTTATTTTTTTTAAACAGTGATCTGATGTGATATTTTATGAGATAAAGTACGTGATAAAGAATAGTAAAAAAATTAAAAAAAAATGCTAAAAAAACAATCCCTAGTGTCATGTGAAAAGAGAAGTTAATCCAAGTATTTAATTTGAATTTTTTATATTGCTTTATTCCAATTTAAGGTTGTATTATCCATGCAATTTTTTTCGTATCTAATATAAAAAACACTTTAAACTAAAATTAATATAAAACAAACATATTCTTGTTGGTTCCAATAAAAATATATTAATTTTATATACTAAATATTATGTCTAACCTTAAGGGATGTTTTGGTTGTGAAGTTGTGATAGTGAGATTGAGTTTAAAGCCTCGGCATACTAAGATACACCCTAAGATGAAAGACTGTTGTTTCAATTTTATAATTTCTTACAAAGACATACTAATTTTCCCGACGTATTCAAAAGAACTACAATAAAAATGTAAAAAAGTTACTAATTAAATACATGTAGTATTTATTTATTTTTTTATTATAATAATTTTGGAGCAAAAATAGTTATTGAATATAATATTATTCTCTTATAAAAAAATATGGATTACATATTATATAGAATGAGATATATATATATATATATAAAAGGATAAATCCAATTCGAATTGCAAGTTTGTGTCCGGGAAAGTTTATATTTTATGTTCCCTTGTCCTTTTAATATATATATTTTTTAAATATTTTAATCTAGAATATTTTTATTCATTCATTTATTTATTTTCACTTAAAAAATCAATTTAAAATGATAAAAAAAAATAAAAAAACCCCACTAGTAAACTGTGGCCTAATGGTGTTAAAAGTAAATTTATAATTGTGAAATTATAAAAAATATGCCTGAACATGCTCAGTTCTCACTTTTGGTCCATATTCTAATAAAATAATTTAATTGTTACTGAATCAATTACAACCAACCTAATAAATATTACTTTACTTTTTTTACATTTCTATATACAAAGAGTTACCAAACTAGTAATTGCTTTCTATATTAGATGAAATAATATCTTTTTATATAAACAGAGTAAAGATTACATAAATTATGTCCCAAATGAACATTTATTTATTTATTTATTTATTATAATACTAGTATTAATTTTAGTTATTTATTTTTAATGAAAATGATATATTAATGATAATTTATATAAATACAAATTTTCATCTTGTTTCAATTCATCCATCTAAGGACATGCATGACCCTCAATAATATTTAACCAAAATTATTGAATCTTAATTTTATAATCAATCCAACATTTTATAGTTGTTTACAAATAACTTCAATTTAATTATGCCTATGTGCATCAACACATTAAGAGTCTATACATTCGATAATACCACATCAATTTATACGATCAAGATATGTAGAGAATTCCGATAAAAAAAAAAAAAAAAGATATATGGGGTGTGTTTGTTCGAGGGTTTAGATTTTGAGTTGGGATTTGAATAGTAAAAATTTTGAATTTGAATAGTTGTATGATGTGATGTAAAAGGTGTTGATGTGGTGTTTTGAATATAAAATTGATTTTTAGTATAATATAAAAAATGAAAAATAAGTATTTGATTTGATGTTTTTTGAGGGAAAAAATTGGATGAATAGTATAAATCCAATCCAATCCCCAAACAAATAGAGAATTCTATCGCTAGAATACTAAAAATTAATAAGAACACAATCACGCAAGATATACTAAATTTATATATATATATATATAAATCTATTATCCTATCGTTAATTTCGACATATAGTTACTATAATCCGTAATATCAACTCGACAAATTTAGACCAACACTACCATTTCAACCCTTTCATCACAATCGAATCTTTCCCTCGAAGGAGTAATTAACAAGGAATTAATCCATGTGATTAGGATTCATTAACTTTTTTGCAAGAACATAGGAACAAACAAACAAACTACGAATAATCATTTAAAAAAAAAAATGTTGGATTAATATTCGCAATTGGGAATTAATTTAAGCAATTGTTGATTAATCAGCTCAACCTAAACAATGAATTCCTTTTTTCAAATTAAAAGTTGGCATTTTTGGATTCATATGTCACAAGCTGCACAGGAAGAACCTATACAGGGCTCCACACCCCTCCATTTTCAAGCCAAACGTCGTCGTTTTGCGATCGCGAAAAATTATACATTTATATTTTAATTTTTTCGAACCAGCTCATATATATGTTTGATTATATTCTTGATTAGGGTTTCCTTAATCATGAAATTCTTTTTCAAGTGTCTTCGAATTTTAAGTTTGAATTTTTGAATAACAAAATTTTGAATTTAATAGTTATTTGATACAGTGTTTTTGGATGAAAAAGACTTAATTGAATAATAATAAAAATCTCGAAACAAATACTACTATTCAAGACTTTCGGGGATTTTATACAATTCAATTTTGTTCAAAATTATATGATTGTGCTCTACTTGCGTGTTAGATATGTTGATAGAGATTGACATTTTTTCCCCGACTTTTGAAAAGATAAGATTTTTTTTATTATTATTATTATTATTAATAATGCATGAATTACTGATAAAATATTTTTATTTTATCTTATAAAACGTCATATTCAAATTATTATTTAATTATATTACTAAACCCAAAATCAAACACGCCCTAAATCATGTCTTAATTTAAACGTAGATCGAATTAGATGCTAAATCACAATTTGAAAGTGTGAAGGTTTACATAGGAGTGCAATAATGTAATCTTAGAAATATATTGAAATGTCAATATATGTATATATTGTCAAATTATGTATTAACATAATAATCGTTGAATGTCGCTATTTGTTAAATGACAAACATACATATTAAAACAACAAATCAGACAGACGCATATTTAACATGAGATATATAATATCCAATACAACTATAAGAAATCTCAAGAATCAAGAACTATTGAAGATGATCAAGACTCTTCGCATCAAACTGTTGTTAGACATAATCTTGTAGGTTAGATATCATAATTATCGTATCATCAATGTAGAGAAGTAAAATAATGATCACGGAAGAACTTTGACGAACAAATAAGACATAATCATGTGAATTGCAAGTGAAGCCAAATTAATGAAAAATTGAACTAAATTTGAAAGACCAAACACATGAAGTTTTTTTTTTTTTTTTTTTTTTTTTTTTTTTTAATTACGACGTGAGAATCCGCAGCCGCTACCCAAAAATGCATAGTGGGTAAACCCCCGACCGAACCTAATACTCTGCAAACCAAGCTCGACGGGAAAGACACACTAGACGAACCGAAAAATGAGGTGGAGAACCAGAAAATAATGCCATATAAACACTATATATATATATATATATAAATCACTAATTTAAGATAAACTACTTACGAACAATCGCAATTAAACAACAAATAAATATAAGAAGCACCACATGAGCAAAGGAAAATTACTTAGGACGTGTTTGTTTTGTAGCTTTAGTTTGAAATATTTTCATATTAGATATAAGAAAATTTATCGGTACTATATTATATATTATAATTACTCTATTCGCCAAAATTATATCATAGTTTATTTACAATTAATAATTTTATTCATCAATAATTTTATTACCATTAGTTTAATGCATCATAACTAATTAGCTATTAATTTTTCTATTTATCCAATTATATATATATATATATATTTATCATTTTCTTAATAAATTTACCATAATATAGTAACTTCAATATTATTATTATTTTTATATATCTTATTTTAATATTGCAATTTCATTATGTCTTAATTTTTTTTGTGTCTACTTAAATTTACAAATATGAGAATAAATTTATATATATATTGTATTTTTTCATTAATTAAGGAAGTGTAAGAAAAAATTTAGTTAGGACTTTATTTGTAATTCAAACTTATATGCTCCTTTTGTATATACACTATTTTGTAATTTATATAATAGATTACAAAATTATTTTAAATTTATGCTGTGATTGTGGAAAATTAATATTCTCTTTTTGTTCCCTTAATAAATTATCTATTGCTATGTATCTAATATTGCAAATATCTTTACTGAGTATATTACAGATCATTACTTTGTATAACATAATAATAATAATAATAATAATAATAATAATAATAATAATAATGTTATTTTAGTTATTTTTATTTCTACAGTATATCAATGTAATATTAATATACCTTAAACTCCGTGTAAAAAATAAACGGATATTTACTTAAGGGACGAAAAGAATATAATAATATAATTCAAACAGTACGGTATTCACAACTGGGTCAAATTTAGCCATTCAAAAACAAAAAAAATTCTCTTCATCCCATTTATTTTATAATATACTAATAGAAGCGCGTGAGAAGTTTTAATATTTTTAATAATATAATGATATATTTGTAATTTAAATTAAAATTAAAAATATTTTAGTTTTAATATATAATTAAATTTTTACTGAAGTAAAAAATAAATAAGACGAACGAAAATAATTAAGTAAAACAAACAAATTTATTTATTTTAATTTTAATTTTATATTTATTTTTTATTTCAAAAATTAAAGAGATATTTTTGTATTACTCCCTTTCTTTCACATAAACTATTCATATTTTTTTATTTTTGTTAATTTCATATAATTTTTTTTTCATCTTTTGGATTTTAATTGTATTTTAAATTTTATAATATATAATTTTTTATAATTTTAATTAAATTATTAAATTATTTTAATTTTAATGTATATATATTTATTATATAATAATAATTTTTATTAATATATTTTTACTAACTATACTTTATCTCATATTTCCAGTTTTACAATAATACTGGCAATTTATGTGAGACGAATTTACCTAAAATTACCGTTTCTATATTAACCCGGACAATTTATGTGAGTGAAAAGGGCAGTATATAAAAAGGAATAGGGTGGGTGGGTATGCACTTGGGCGTCAATTGAAGTGGCGGTGCAATTCGAAAAATTTCAGGGCAAGACAGACAAGACAAGACAGGACAGCAAAGGGTTAAGCTAATGGCCGAGACGAAGTCGGCGACGCACCCTCGGCTTGCCGGACTGACGCAACTTGGTGTAAGCGGTGGAGGAGGAGCGGCCCCGAGCCCCTCGGCGGTGAACTCGTATCGTGTTTCCTCTGTCATTGATCTTTTATACCGTCATGTCCAAGGCATCCGCAAAAGCGACCACAACGAGTTCTTCAATCTCTGCATTGCCCTCGCTAGGTACACTAGTTTTTGCTTTTGATTGCTTAGTTAGGAATGTTTGTGGTGTTTGGGGTGGTGGTGAACGAAGGATTTAGGTGCTAACTGCTCTGTTTTGCTACAAACCGTAAAATATACGTGTTCCTGTGACGAAGAAACACCCTAGATTAAGATTTTATGTATATATCTGTAGTTTTTATAGACTGTTTTTGGTCTCGTGTTTTTTGTAGTGCTAATATAGCTTTTGGTTTAGGGTTTAGGGTTTAGGCTGTTCTTATGTATTTGGTTTGATTCTTTCATCGGCTTGTCACTTGTGCTTGGTGATATTACTTGAGTAATCCTTATTTTACTGGAGATGCTTTATTCAATATTTGGAGATTTTGGATATGGGTAACCAAGTTTCCTGTGTCTCCTACGTGTGCTTTTACAATATTAGCTTGTCATTGACTTCTTTTATCCTATTATCATCAACAATTATTGGAGTTGGAATGTTTTGAGTGTGAAATGGATAATGGGGTGGGTAAAAACTAATCAATATTGTTTTGTCAGTATTCGGCATTATTGAATATTGTAGTTTAACATATTTGTTTTGTCATTAAATAAATACGTGTTCAAGAATTTCTTATGCGGTTCGAACTGGCGATTACATTTATGCGATACCAATTTCTAAATCTGGTTTGGTGTTAAGGATTAATGTAATCACGTCGGAAAGAGCTTCCACATCATTATTTTGCCAACAAATGGCTTAGACATTGTTCATGTAGGCTTTCTTCAATGTTTTGTTTGGCTAAATATGATCTATAAATTGCTAATGCTTCTTTGACCACATATTCTGTCTAAATTGGAATGCACTCAAAAAATGCAGAAGCATTGATTTTGCCATTGCGTATAACGAGGTTCCAAGCAGAGCTACAGAGTTGCCTTTACTTCTAAAGCAGGTGATGCATTTAGATTATTATTACTATTTGACGCTTCAGTTATATATTTCTACCTTGTCTATAGGTAGATGTCATGCCAAACAAAACTGGCTTCATAATTCATGTTTTAGCTGCTTATTTGTTGATAAACTGCTGCATAATATCGCTCTCACTATCTTTCAGTTCCTGAATCAAACAGGTCTATATTACATTGCAATATATGCTTCGGATGTTACTTTTAACCATAGCTTCACTTTGCTTCTACGTGATTTTCAACATTTTGTTCCCTTCCTTTCTGAATTGAGCTTTACTGCATTTTGTTTCCTAACAAAAGAAAATTGCTTGTATGCTTGTTCTATAACCCCTCTTTGAAACACATTCACAGCAAACACACAATCATGAAAAATAGTGATTTTATTTTTTGAATTTATTAGGCCATCTCTAACCCACGAACTCCATTTATGCCATTTTAACTGAAAAAATGGAGTTGCTACAGTAGTTTTACTCCAACCCACAACTCTATTTTTCACTCCAAAAAAAACATTCTTCAAATATCCTATTTTATATATTATTTTAAACCACTTTTTATATCTACAATTAATAGTATCTTTATAAAAAAAATTTAAAAAATAAAAAATAATAAAAAAACTACTATACACAAATCTAAAAATTAAAAAAAGAAAGAATGGAAATGCAGCAACGCCAAATTTTGGCGCCAAATCTTCAACCCAGTGCCATTTAGATGCCCTTAATACACAGATGTTCACAAGCCAGCCAATATTTCTATTTTAAATACTGCTTTGGACAAACTCGCCCTTGTATTCCAATGCATGCACACTATACAACAAATCATCACCGAGCAATCAAAAAATCAAATTGAAAAATTTCATAAAATTCCTTTGGTACTTTTAATGAACTTTAACCTCAAAATACATATACACACACTAATTAATTTTGAACCAAGTGTTGTAGATTTCTCATTTCAATTGTTTTAATAACTGGGTAGATTTTGCTCGGGTATGAAGAATCTTTATAGCTATTTTTTATTTCATCTAATAAGCTGTACAAAAGACATTCAAGAAGTGAAGTACTTTTCCTGCTCCTTCCTATCTGCATCTGTAGCAACCTAAGCATGCACGACATTTGTTCTTTTAAAATCTGGGCTATAGTTTTCTAGTCAATATTAATTTAGCAATCATTATGTAAGGGAGCTTGTCTAACCTTTTTGTGGCTCCTTTTTGTAAAATCCTTTTTATTGTTTTCATATATCATAGTTATTCTGTAATTGTGGTGCCCAACGTGCTACCTTAAGTTTATTTTCATTTTACCAAACTGGATGATTGAATTAAGTTGTGGTTCTCTTTCAATGATTTCATGCATTCAGTTGTGCCAAGATACAAAAGATATCTACCTGAAAGCAGCAGTTATGGTCTTGATGATTTCCATCAAGGTAATTCTATATTTAGATGTGTATATATATTTACTATGCGGAACCGTATGATTGGTGCCTCATACAAATCTTGTACTCATACACTCATTGTTCAGTATTCTGTCGTGCACACGAGCAGATATTCTTTTTCTTATTTGTATTGTTCAAAGGCACAAGCAATATTGGAAGGCTATTGTTTGAGTTTAATGAAATTAGAATGATTGTTACGTAGCTAATCTGGATCTCTGGTTCCATCTGCACTGCTTGGATGTGCAACATTTACTTTTGTAAAATAGACACACAATAGTATGTGGAATACTATGTGAAGACTTGTTTGTAACTGCTGTCTTTATCTGGAATGAGGCTTGAGTTATCTTCAACTGGTATTTGACTATTGTATATATTTGAGGATTTGAATGTGTAATGTTCATGCAAATTTTGTTTTTCCTACTGGTCAATGCAGTGTGTTTGCTTCCGTATGTTTTTTTAACTTTTTTAGCATGTTTATAATTTGACTTGTGAAATAGAAAATTATCTTTACAGAATTCTTCCTTTATCATTTCTTGAACTTGTAAATTATTTGGCAGAGTGCTTGTCGAAGTGGGTGGTTTCCTATTGAAGATTCTGAAGAACTTAACAATGTTACAAAGGAGGTCAGTTAACATTATCATGTATTCACCCTTTTATTTTTATTTTCAATTTTTTTGTAATTCTTTTATTAAATGTATACAGGTTGCTAGTAGTTTTTCTGTTGCAGAATTTAGCACTGTTCCAAGCAGCTCTCATCCTGTTGTGTCAACTGTCATGGCGAGGTATATTCTTATGATATTTTATGCATTGTTATGCATTTGAACCTGAAGTTGATATTTTTTTCAGTTATATTATTATTACAACACAAAATGCTGCTGTGGTATCATTATGTGATATTTAGGTATCTCCAAGTAAATACAATGCTACAATATATATTTGGAAAATGTCTTAGAATATCTTGTAATTATGGCATGACATTTACTCGGAAGATTGTTAGTATTTAAGTGTTATGATATATATCTATAATCTAGATATAATTTGGTTAGGATTATTAATCTAACCAAAACGTTAAATTTTCTCTTGTACTTTTTCCACCCAAACAACATCATAATCCAATTCCTTACACACTGGTGCCTCCAACCATGGTGAGAGAACCGCCATCCATCCGCCACCACATGTGCGTCCACGCTCCACCGCCGGAAGACGACATCTTTGTTTCGGCCAATTTTTGACCTCTTTCCAGCGGCCTTTTTAGACACGCGCCATACCAGTGCGTTCCTCACTTTATGACGTGTTGGATGGTGTTGCTGTCCATTGCCGCCGTACGTGCAGCATCGCCGCTGCCGCCACCACATTTCTGTTGGGTTCTTTTTTCTTCATTTGCTACTTATTCGCGACTTTTTTAAGTTAATTGGTACTAGATGTCTATATTTGAAGTGTACTTATATGAAAGAGAATTCAGCTTTTTATGAACCCATATAGGATATTTAGTTGTTTGGTTTCTGTATTTTTTTTTGTTTTACCTGTGAGCAATTTTAGCGTTTTGTTTTGATTCAACTTTTTACTTGGAGGCTGAAATAGTCTAGTTATATTTGTTGTAGATTCTATCCCAAATTGAGGATGGGGCATGTATTTGCTTTTATTGAAGTCAAGGTAATTATTTTTACTTCATTTATACTATCCAACTTTCAGTTGCATGTTGTTTTGCTAATATTAATGTTCCATTTTATTCACTGTAGCCTGGATTTGATGTATATGTGGCTGATTTCCAGCTCTCAAAGGATTTTAAGCCTTCTCCGGGAGATAAAATTGTAAGCATTCCTAAGAAGCAATGCCATTTTCATTTTGATATATCAAAGTAAATGCTGTAATTTTGATAAAAGTACTTCTGTCAGGTATGAGATTTTGTAGTTGAGGCAATTTCTGTACAATAATATCGTTTCTTCTGAACTCTTCTTTGAATTAGTTGGATCTTCTCCTATAATCCAATGCTATAGGAGGGCTGGTGGGAAAATGTGATGGTTCATTTATCTACAATATTAGTTTAACTGAATAACAAATCATCACTTCTCATTGGATAGTTAACACTCCCTTCGTCCAAAAAAGTGCTCATGTAAGCTAGCATCAGTTTTAATGAATATAATATTATATTGGCTGATTTTGATATAAATTAAGGGCATTTTGGGAAATGTATGAGTGAACTTACAAGCTGAGAGAATTTTTTGGATAAATTGAGTGTAAATAGTTGTAATTAAGTGTAATGTTAAAAAAAATATATATTTTTCCAAATGTTAAAAGAGAATAAATTAAAGAGTGTGTAAGATTTTTTTTTGCAATAAATGAAAATTACATAAAAGGAAAACAAGCATATTAGTGGACCAAGGGAGCATTAGTGTACTGCCAGTCTCAAATAAGGTATTACTGTAATTGCATAGAGCACACACAATGTATTAACCTTGCTGCTGCTAGCATGTGGTTGTTAATTACAGCTTGGTATTCCATGTTGACATGTGTTCAACACATTTATTTTCTTCATGAAATTAAAACATTTAGAACTAGACGGTGTCATTTTTGTTTCATCTCATCATTCCTCTTCCTGCAGAGTTTATTTGTTGCCCAAACAGATAATATCGAGACATCAGCCTGCCTTGTTAGTCCTGCCAAAGTAAAGTAAGTTGCTCTCCTTCAAAGTAACTATCTCTTCTGTTAAAATCAGTGCCCTAACATCTTACATCTTTCTTGCAGCTTTCTCTTGAATGGAAAAGGAGTAGAGAGAAGGATTAATAGTAACGTGGTTTGTCTCTGATTTATGATTAGAAGTCTGTTAATTATTTGTGACATAGTTTACTTGCATGCATCTTTTGGTTCTGTAGGACCCAGGGCCGCAAATTCCAACAGTTGTAAATAGTTTTCTGAAGTATGGGACAAATTTTCTCCAAGCTGTGGGAGATTTTAATGGTATTCTTGACTCAATTTCCCTTATCTGATTGTCTGGATATGATATCAAATGTTCGAAAGCTGCTCACTCTTAGTTATCATCATTCTATAGGAAATCATATTGTTGCAGTTGCTATCATGAAACAGAACTCAAACACTGATATTAGTGCCCTGCAAGATCATGAGGAGCAGCCTAAAGCTGTTGATTCAGGTATCTCTTCGAAAATTGTCATCATACCTACAAGTTCTGTTATTATTATTATTTTTTTTTTTGCTTTTTGTTTTAAACACCAATGAAGTTTATATCAAAGAAATTCTAGATGCAAGCTCTCTATGGAATGAGATGTCTTTGCTCACTGATTTCTTGGTCAAGTGATGTTCTCACCAACTTCTTTCTATTTATTTTTTGTATTTTGAACTGTGTAGATTCTGATATACTTGAGGGGGCATCAAGGATATCACTGATCTGTCCTATTAGGTAACCTGTCTTCATTGTGGTTTTCATGTGTTTTTTTCCTTTAATGTTCGATCTGATTGTGTTGACTTGATGTTTGCTATATCATTTACTGACAAACATGGTTTGTGTTTGTCATGTTATGTAACAATTTACAGCATGAAGCAGCATCCTGAAGTTCTAGAGATGCTTTGCATAATTTTTTAAATTTACTGAGTTAATTTATTGTTACAGCTGTACAGCTTCTAAATTATTCACATTAGCTCTGGCTTCCTACCTGAGCTTCTTTTCTAACATTCTTCTCCTAATAATCTATTCTCTTGTGAATCATTTTTCTTTCATTTAAACTTCTTTTTGCAGCCTCAGATGCTAATGGTATATTCACTGTCTTTAAATTTTGGCAGCCACCAGCGTATTGTGACTCCTGTAAAAGGACACTTATGCAATCATATGCAGGTGATTGCAAACGTACATAGTTGATATTGACCAACAATTATTATTCTGATGTATTAACATTGTTTTCTCTTTATTTCAGTGTTTTGATTACAACAGCTATGTAGAGATCAATTCAAGAAAACCTTCATGGCGCTGCCCATGTTGTAATCAGCACGCCTGCTTCACTGAAATCCGCATTGACCAAAAAATGGTCAAGGCAAGTAATTTCATTGCATTTATTGCGGATAGGGTCACACGACAATTACCACTATATTAAAAGACTTGACACTAATATGCATGTAGTTAGTAGTTCGATGTTATATGTTCAAGGATAAATTATAACTGCTCTATTAAACAACATGAAAAATTAATCTTTCTGTTTTACTTGTAATTAAAGGATAAACAGTTCATTGAGCCCTTCTGTAATAACTACATCCTAATGTTCTGAGCTCACGTCCATATTGGATTTTCTCAGATCTTGCAAGAGGTTGCGCCAAACATCTCCAACATAATTATCTCCTCTGATGGTTCGTGGAATGCAGTCACGGGAAGTGATGATACAGTGGAAAAGCCACGGATCGATATTCCCAGCTTAGGAGAGGATGAGCCTCCAAAAGGACCACAACCTCCTGATATATTGGACCTAACGCAGATTGATGATGCAGTGGATCTTACTAAAACTGGCGGAACTGAAGACATGAAAAATGTTGTCCATCGTCAAGTTGTTAGCCAGAATACAGGTCATGCCAATGCTCAAGCTCAACCTAATGCACAGGTAGCTGGTCTTTCTGCCCTGGATTCATTTACATTCCCAACTTCACACGTTGAAGGTTCTCATAGTGATCTTTTCTTGTGCATTATGTAAATTCTTTTCTGAACATACAGCAGCATCAATTTGGAAATCCATCTGCGAGTAATGAATTTGGAAGGCCCCCGTGGGTGATGCCCGGCCATGTAACCCAAATACCAGCTCCAGTTCAAGACCCGAATTCTGGCATCCATCAAAGTTCTAGAAATGGGGATAATAATTTTATCCCGAGTACTTTGCCAGCAATTTCACAGACCAGTGCCACAGGAATTCCTGTTCCCCTCTCATCTCTGGCCGTCCAACAAACCTTGAGACAAGCTATGGAGTCTTTCAGCCAAAACAATTTTCTGCCAGCCCGGTCATCATCCCCTGCTGCCTCAATCATGCCGACAACACACAGCACACCATCCCCGACTCCTATGTACCAACAGAATTTTAGAAATAGTTTCTCCACAGCTTCACAACCCACTCCTGCTGCGCCCATTATCACCTCAGCACCTCATGCAAATCCTAGGCATGCTTCATCAGTTAATCTGCCTCCATATCCGCAGCAGCACGTGCAGGTAAGCATTATTTCATCAAACTGATAGTGTCTAGTTACTTCTTTTGGACACTTATTACTTTTCTTATCGTATGCAATTATATGATCCAGGTGATTTTTTTTCCGAATACATATATTGTTGTCTCACTCTATTAAAACTTAATCCAATCTTCTCTTGAATCATTGCTAGCAAAATCCATTCCAACTTCAGTTGATTGCAGCTGCCAACCGAACTGCACAGATGTCTGCTGGGATGATGAGAGGCTCTCCCTCCTTCCCAAGAAATTTGGAGACGCCTAATTTGCCGTCACCAGAAGATCTTAGGGCCACTACTTTAACAGCATCACAACCTGCCAACACCAGGACTGAAACATATGATCCCAATGATCGGAACTGGCGACCTACAGCCAGGATGCGTGGGGCCCTATCTGGCCAAGCTTATGCCGATGCCCTGTACCAGCATATTACCCTGGCGAGGCAGCAAGTTCAAGCACCTAGGGCAATTCCCAATACGTTCTACCATCAAACTAATGCCCCCGCGCAAGTGCAAACCTCTGCCGGTGTTTCTCAGGCTGTTGAACCTAGCGATACCATTTTAATACCGGATCCTTTTGTTGACTCAAACGGGATGCTCTGATTAGTAAAATCTCCGGGTATGGCGCTCTCCCCTCAAACTCTCTAGTTCTGTAATATTTCTTTACTTTCCGTTGATAATTTAGATGAAATTACTGATGCTGCATGGGAGGGCATGAATTGAAATCTCACTTCGTTCATATTTGAGAAAGATTAGTGGCAGAGAACTCTACTTTTGCCAATTAAATCTTTTCATTTTGGCCAATCTGTCTCTATATATATATATATATATATATATGTATGTTTGTCTGTATGTATGTAGCTAATCTCAAATTCTATCAATTTGTCATATTTGAATTAGCAATTTAAGTTTGAAGCTCTTAAGAAGGAATTCCGGAGGGGTTGTTCTCACCCTTATAACATAACAAGGGAGAATACCCGATATTTTCCTATGTGAGATACATTTAACACTTTCCTTTTGAGATGAAATCAGGATCAATATCTTACCTAATGCGGGCAACTATTTACATGTTGAATGTATCCTACATAGAAAAATGTTGGGAGGTTTTTTGTGTCTCAGTCCACCGCTCCTATTCATCGCAAGGTTAGTATGTGATGTATATCTACCTTACTCTTGTGGAGATGCCTTTGTTGATTCTCGTATAAATAAATGAGTGATCATTTCAAATTTATGTTTGTAGGAAATATGTTCATTTAATATGTTGTCAGAGCTATAGTTGCCCGTATTGAATAGAGTATAATCTCGGTTTTGAAATGAATATAATTTCAATGGAGGATCTTCAAATTCCTTCTTTACATTAAGGAGTTTCAACATCTTTTTTAAATGATTCGGACATCTTTTCTTTCTCTAGCCTTTTTTGGATATAGGTTTGTTTGGGGTATCGAATTGAAACATCAAGAACTCATCACTTGAACTCATCACCTAGAGGTGCTGGTTCCGGAGACTTCTAAATAAGCTATGTCCAAATTTCTCTAGAACACGAAGAACATTGCTTTGCTCGTCGGTCTGGTTGGGGATGGCTGCATTATCCGCGTAGATCTCCTCAGCCCAATATATTCACTTCAATTCCATTTTCATTGCAAACGGCGCTCTATCATAAAGAGCCCGGAACTTCCTACACTGAAATCGAGTTGGTAATAATAATGGTAATACTACGCGACGAGACGAGCAATTGACTTCGTACCAAACAAGGTTAGCACGACATGCCAATGTACAATGGTCTAACAAGTCATATTATTTTTCCTTACAAAACATTACAGAAAATCACCTGATTGTGAAGTCGAGAAATCATCTAACAAATTATCAAAGTGGAAAATCATTCACTTGATTTTTCATAATTTGACAAGCCACAATATATATATATATATATATGTTAATTAGGACTTCACAACAATATTGCTATAATCATCATTATAAACTAAATGGATACATTTATTTAGAGCAAGAATAACATGTTCCTACCTAACATACAATGTTCTTCTGTGCCTTTTCAATAATCTCTTGTTCTAAACTAAAACGAATGAATTATTGAATTCGAATTCGAGCAACGTGATATGATCCTAACAAAAGGAGAAAAAATAAAAAAATAAAAATCAAGAAACCCGAAGAACTTACTCTGTCGAGGCTTATAGTAGATAGCGCACCTTCCAATCCTCGGCCGAGACTTTTTTAGTCCTGTAAATTAACATCGACTCAGTATCTTATGCGACTAAATGATCGATCCCTTTAAAGCTACACGTGATTTTATCATTCTTGGATCGATTTTCATATAGATAAAAAGCAAATGTACCTATTATTTTGAGGTCAAGAGCATTGTAAGATTTCGCCAAAAATGTCCGGGCATCCATCCCATTTTCCTTGTTCCCGGGCTTCCCAATATCCGCCAATGTAATAAAAGGGTCCTTCGCCGTCTCTTCGGAACCATCGAGGTTTCCAACCATCTTCTTGCAATTTCCTAGACTGTCCAAAAATCATTTAAAAAGTCAATCGATATGTCCAACGGAAGTGAGAAAAAAACAGAAATAAGACACACCATTCTCTGTCTCGTCTCGAGCCGGAGCTTCTCTTCATTTGCCTTCTCGAATTCGCCATTTTCTAAAAACCGTTGATCGGGTCGAAGCCTCGAATCAGTCGGCGGGAGCTTCTCCTTCATCGTGAAAAGGGAAATTGTCGAATCCGATGAAGCTATATACGATATACGTTACATAGTAGAAAAACTTATAACCGATTCATCGTCCGTACCTTGAGTCCCGGCACCAATTCATTAAGCGTAATGGCGAACGACGTTAAGTTATAACGGGTGAGGTTTACGGGTGGCATATTCCTTTTCCACAAGATCGACGCCTCGGGCCCATCTTTTGCGCCGCTAGTTCCCTCTCCGTGTACAAAATACATACTTTCGTCCCACTTTCCGAATAATTGCGCGACCTTATGCCCCATTTCATCTTCCACAAATCCGTTCACCTGTCGAGTCGAATTAGGGATAGTTTTCGAAAAAAAAACATTTCTTGCAAAAATGCAGTCAGATTACCTGCCGCGGATTGCGCTCGAGAATCGACAGCTCCTTGAACTTGAGCTTGCACGAGTATTGTCGATTCCCTCGTATGTGCATGGTTCCATGGTGGTGGCAATATATCGTTCCGAGGATTAAATTATTGATGCTCGTTGTGACCTATGAATACGTAACGGTAAAAAAAAATCGTAATATAGTCGACGGAAGATTCGGATGAGGGATTAGGCACCTTGCTCCATTGGAAGACTTCGCCGTCGTCGAACTCCAAATTAAGAGTTCCGACCGGGTCTACCTGTATCGATCTTCCCCAAAATTTCGACTTAAGGTTTGTGTCGCACCAAAATTTCCAACCTTTACCTTCGCAATGACAAGCAATGAGCGTCGGGTGGTGACTGACCTATTTCAAGAAAACATTCGTCAGCACCGACGACAAAACTTTAATTTTACGTAGTAAAACAAATCGTTGCGGACAAGTATAACCACCTTTTCGGCGAAGAATCGAAGCCCTTTCTCAGGGTAATCAGCTTCGTATGTTTCGCCGAGTAATGGATTGAACGGCTTACAATGGCGACCTTCCGACGAAGCATATCCGGAGACCGCAAAAGCGGCGACGTTTAATATCCTCATAAGACCGTTCCCCTGAAGAAATACCGTATCGAATTATAGTCGAAGCATAAGATCAAGAATCGTGTAAAAAAATGATCGATCGTACCATTTTGCCATGCTCGTAAGCCTGATCCAAAAGATGTGAATACTCTAACTCTTCGAAACATTTTTGCAGCGACGATATCGGTTCGTTGAAGTACACGGGGAGACAGACCCTCGTCAAATCCTTACCAATGTTGTCCTTGATCATTGACCATAGACTTACGCCTTTCTCCTTCTCGACGGGATCCGGCAACTTCGTCCGCCTTTTAATACAGGGGTACGCGTCGATTCTTTTCGACTCGTTACTCGGACTTTCCAATTTCTGACAACTATCCATGCAATTTACGACGGCTGATCCCGGATCGGGAAAACACTCATTTGTGTCAAAAAAATGGGTCTCCTCGCTGTCGGACGCTTCCTCGAGCTCTTGCTTTTCGATCTCATCCGACGATTCGGTTGTGCTCCACTCTGTTTCCATAATAAGATTTCAGCAATATGATAAAAGACCGGAGTTATCGATCATCTAAAGATTCGAGCTTTAAAGACGACAAATATTCGAATCACCGACGCTACGGATCTAACGCAATCTCTCAAGTTACCAAATTAAAAACGATCAACGAGCAATAAGTAGTTCGTTACCACCGTATTTCCCCCGCGCTACATTTGTATATCCGTGCTTCATTAATTGGAACTCGCCATCGTTGATTCCAGATGTTTCGCCTTCGATATTTGCAGCCTGACAAAACGAAAAACAAATGATCATAATTTTCGACAAAAATGACGGTGCAGCAAACTCGATACCAAAGATCGCATGCATGTCAAGAAAGGAATAAGATACAAACACTATTTCGAAACTTAAGAGTGTAAGAAACAAGGGAAAGGAATTGGTTCCAAGCTTTCAGAAACCCACTTTCTCGAACTAATTTAGTATAATACGATCCGAATTCTTCGGTTGCAAGAATCGATACCAAAATGGCGATAACTTTTACCTCTAATTGCTTCAATGTATCCAATAAATTGGATCGTTCTTGGCAAAGAGCTCGATACTGTCCTTGTATGCCAGAAAACTCCGAGAGCATGATTTGCTCGCAATCTTTAACGACCTCTTCATCGACTCCTTCGTCGAGCAAACGGTGCTTCAATCGATCGGTGGAAATCGACAAATTTCTAGTTAGAAGAGGATTTTCTTCGTCAGTTTGTGGTCTTAGTGAGAAAAGGCTTCTTGTCGAAATTAAAGCCTCTATCCACGCCGCTCTTTCTTTCTTGGAGTTCGTCCTTAAATGAAGCGTCTTTGTCGCGGTAAATATGTAAAACCTCCGATCATCGGATTTACTCTCGCGAAAAGAGGATATCTGCAAACAATGCTAAACTTATTACATTGTTTTAGAACAAAGCAAATCGATCTTTGCTGAATTTATTAGCGAAACTACAAGTTCGAATCATTGGTCGCATTTTGAATCATTTGGACTTTCACAAAACAATCAAAACCAACTACAAATTTAAATCATTGTGTTCCATTTTGGATTCGAGCACGCGCAAAATAATCTACATCAAACACACTAGCGAAAATCTACAAGTCCGAATAATTGTGTTTCATTTTGGATTCAAATTCGTGTAAACCAATCTACACGAAGAACAATAGTAAAACTACAAGTTCGAATAATCATGCTTCATTTTGGATTCGAGTGGGCGCAAACTAATCTAGACCAAATAAACTTGTAAAACTACAAGTTCGAATAATCTTGTTCCATTTTGGATTCGCATACACGGAAACCAATCTACACCAAGTACACTAGTAACACTACAAATTAAAATCATCGTATTCAATTTTGGATTCAAGCACGCGCAAAATAATCTATATCTAACACACTAGTAAAACTACAAGTTCGATCATTCAATCGTGTGTTCCATTTTGGATTTGAGCACGTGCAAAAAATCTACATCTAACACACTAGTAAAACTACAAGTTCGATCATTTAATCGTGTTCCATTTTGGATTCGAGCATGTGCAAAAAATCTACATCTAACACACTAGTAAAACTACAAGTTCGAATCATTTACCGTGTTCCATTTTGGATTCAAGCACGCGCAAAATAATCTACGTCTAACACACTAGTAAAACTACAAGTTCGAATAATCTTGTTCCATTCTGGATTCGAGCACGAGCAAAATAATCGACATCTAACACGCTAGTAAAACTACAAGTTTGAATAATCGTGTTCCATTTTGGAATCGAGCACGAGCAAAATAATCTACATCAAACACACTAATAAAACTACAAGTTCGAATAATCTTGTTTCATTTTGTATTCCAATACGTGCAAACTAATCTACAACAAATACACTAATAAAAATACAAGTTCGAACAATCTAAGCCGAAATAAACTAGCAAAACTACAAATTGGAATCATCCTCTTTCGTGTAGGACTTGAAGCTAACTCGAGCTCTGAAAATGGCGGCTTTTTTTTTGAATTCGAAAACTACCATTAATTAGCAATCGATTTAAAAATTGGTTAGAAGACAAACAGACAGGCAGATAGACAGACAGTCATTAGTTTGGATCTAAAGAGAGGTTTTGTTTGGCAATAACAATCCAAGAAAGAAACGATGAAATGATTTGTTGAATAAGCAGACAAGGAAACATAAGTGTTCATTACAGAGGGGCGACGCCACAAGAAAACAACGAACTATTCCAACAGGAACAAACGCATCGACCACTAACAACAAAACCCCAACTGCTCCTCCGACAGTGTTTTCAGGAGACAACGAATCATGGCCGTATCGAAAGAAATTTTAGAAAAAAACAGAAAAAAAGGATTCAAGTTCAATAATAAATAATTTCTGTTCGGACTCACCGAGGATGAACAGCTACTGGAATTGCAAGAACAACGAATATACCCTCCCCAGATCCTTAATTTCTGCTCTCACTCAGATCTACCATTGAGATTGCTGTGTAATGGAAGAAAGGGAAAGAAAATTTTAAAGAAATTGGGAAACCCTTATCCCTTTCTTCCAATTTTTTTTTTTTTTCTTTAATTTACGGCATCATCGTCAGAGGCTAATGAAAAATAAAAAATTAAAAGAAAAAAAGGAAAAAAAACAATATAGGAAAATGGAAACCCAGAATGTTGATGTGACGAGACATTAGAAACATCTTGAATGAGAAAGTGGCTAGGCCTACACGAACACCTATATTTGGCCCTCTCCTAAAACCCACCTGCTGACGTTAGAAAGACCTTTAACAAACAGTTTTAAAGATTTAAGAATAATAATGGTTTGAAATAAATCAATTTGGGATTTTTAAGGATTAATCAATCGGGAAAAAAATGCAATGGTGAAAAATGAAATCTTGATTTGGGGAAAGGGTTTGGGAATTGGATGGATATGGCGGTTGGGCGACGCCATTTTCGATTTGCCGTTGGTAGAAAGAAAGAAAGGATTTAATATGAGGGGGGGAAAAAGACAAAGACAAAGACACAGTTGGGGTAAATCAAGAATGTCTCAATCTCGACCTCCTCGAATTAGCAGTGCCATGAATTTTTATTTTTGGCGTGTAATTGTAAGCGGGCAGACAGACAGACGAAGGAGGTACCTTCAGATGGACAATGCCGGCGGTTTTCGCGTGTTTCCGGCGGAGATCGGCGGCGGCGGCGGCGGGGAGAGCGGCGGCGGAGCGGCGGCGGGAGGTTTTGGAGTAGGAGAGGACACCGTTGTCGCGTAAGGTGAACCAGCGGGATCGCCAGCCCTTGCCGTAGTTGGTCCACTTGTAGAGGATTCCGGCGACGGTGGTGGCGCCGGCGTCGGAATTGGCGGCGGGGTCAGATCCGCTGTCGAAGAGATTGACGGCGGAGCCGGTGCGGAGGAGGATGGGTTCCGGGGAGGCGTCGCCGGCGCCGGCGGCGCCGGCGACGTGAGTCTCGAGGGTTATGCAGCAGAGCGGGTGCATCTCCTTCACCCGCATGGCGCGTGGGAAAATTAATTATAGATACAAATCTTGTTTTTATATATATATTTAGAGAGAGAGAGAGAGGGGGGAGAGAGAGAGTGTTATGAATCGAGGATCAAGAACGTGATCTCCACATTTTGTAGCAATTCCGATGCAACACGGAAATACACACACTCACGCTAGATTAATTAGACACAATTCGTGTATATATATATATATATAGAGAGAGAGAGAGAGAAGGGGTGTGAAATTAGTGAAAGAAAGGGAGGTAGAAGAAGAGTTGGGGGGTGTCTTTGGGCGTTGAATAATTTGGTTTGGGTTTGTATGTAGTTGTAGAGAGAGAGAGGAGAGAGAGAGAGAGGGGGGTGAGATTGTTGAAATCTAGTGGGGGTGGGTTTGGGGGGTGGGTGGGGTGATTAATTAAAGGTGAAGGGTTCCTCCATTGGAGATTTAGGTGAGAAAATGGTTTGCAAAAAGGAGGGGAGAGAGAGAGAAAGAGGGTGTCCGGAAGAAGAAGGACCTAAGCTACGTTGGACCGGACATATATTCGGTACTTAAAATTGATTTAAATAAAAAAAATAAAAAATAAAAATATTATTTTGAAATAAATACATATTATATTTGTTCAGCTATAAAAATCTCATTTAATTTTTTTAAATATTAATTATAACATAAAAATTGTATAATTTAAAAGAAAAAGATAAAAATTAATATTTTATAATATTATTATAATACTCTCTCCGTCCTGTGTAATATGAGTGTATTACTGTAGATCCGAAAATTTAGATAAAGTATAATTAGTAAGTAATTAAAAAGTGTATTAGTAAAAATAATTATTATTTATTAAAAATAATTATAGATTAAGATTAAGACAAGTAAATAGTTTAATTAAAATTAAGAAAATTATAAAATTTAAAATTTAAAATGCGATTAAAATGCATAATTATATTTCCAAAAATAGAAAAGACAAGTTACGTGGAACAAAAGAAAATAGAAAATAGTGACAAGTTATCTCGGACTGAAGAAGTAATATTTTTAATATTAAGTATAATAAATAAGACCTTTGAGTGAAAGTAATTTTTTTTTTTTTATAAGAAATACTTAATATATTTTTAATTGTATAATTTTGAAAAGGGAAAATGAAGTAAAATCATATAAACTTGAACTAATGTAAGGTTCCATTTAGATAGTTTTCAAAATTTTTATAGCTTTCAAAGTTTTTATATTTTTGAAAAATTTTAAAAATTATAAAAAGTTAATTTTTTGATATGATTTTTGTAAAATAATAAAATATTTAATATAATTTTTTTTATAAAAAATTATTGATAATAAACAATGAAATTTCTTTATAATATATATATATATATGAATATAACATAAAGTTCTGAATAAAAAAACAAATTCAGAAGCCTTCTGTTTTTATTGAACCTAAATTAATGAAAAATAGATATAGTTTGCTTGTTACGGATCATTTTGATTTAAATTAATAACGACATAACTATCTCAAAGCGAAAGTACTACTTACCGGACTAAAATACATAAAAATAAATAAAAATAAATAAATAAAATTTCTGCTGCTATATTTGATAGAAATATAATAACATTTTAGTCAATAAAAATTATTTTATTATATTTTATCTTATTAATAATATTTTAAAATTACATTTATTATAAAGTAAATCAAAATCAATAAAATTATTAGTGCAAGAAAATGAAAATAAGTACTATTAATCACATTAATAAATATGAAAAGTTGTATATAACAACATAATTACAAAATTATATTTTATGTGATCCAATACATATTTTAAATATCGAATTACTCATTATAATAATTATAATCAATCTTCTTCATTCAAATTTAATCGGGAACATAAATAAATTCATATGAACGAACTCTAGGTAATTTTAAAAAATGATCGTAATGGTATATGTTTTTCTAAATTTTTCTTTTTTTATAATTATAAATCATTATAATTTTTTATAAAAATATAGTACTATTTAATAAATATTATATGTAAACTACTATTCAAATAAAAATTTTTTAAAAAAGTTCAAAAGAATACATCCATAATATGTTGAAAGAGATCATTTTTGTTTAGGAATAATTCGGGAGGAGGGGATCCTCGACCCCATCTACTGTATATATATATAGATAGTGTATATATATAAATTACTAAAGATTTCATTTATTCAATGGTTGGAAAAAAAATGAATTAAGGAGAATTTGAGACGGCATTTTTAGATGGATTGATTTTTGGTGTATGACATAAATAGTTGTATAAAAAATATAAAATATATATTTTTTATTTTAAGTTCAATATTTGATTTTTTTTAATTAGTATTTAAAGTTTTTTTGACTTTTGTAAAATGTTTATTATTTTTTTTTAGAATCGTAATTAAAAAATAGTATTAAAAACCAGAGGATATATATATACACTATATATATATGAGTAAATATTGGAATATAAATATGTTCTACTTTGCACATGAAACAATATCTAGTGAGAAATAAAAAATAAAATAATAATAATAATCGTTTTATTTTAAATTTAATTTAAAATAAAATCATTGCCAAACTTGACTAGTATACTTCATAATTATAAAATCTAGTTGAATATTAAATACCTAAAGTGTATTTCTATTATATATATTTTTAGAGACAAATGGGACACTCCCTATATATAAATAATGTCCTAAGTGGATTATTATTATTATTATTATTATCATGGTTGTGAAAACACTATTTAGACAATAATTTTTTAATATTACATTATATATTTAATATAAAAAAATATATATATTCAAAATATTGTATTATTGAATTTATATTATATAAAATAAATTTTATAATTCAATTTTTAAATTATTATTCCAAAACATGTTTTAGACGAGATCCTATTGTTCGATGAACTTAACTACAGACTAAATATTTAAAAATTATTAAGAAAAATTTAAGATTGAATTAAGCTAATATTTTCGAATCATTATTTATCAAAACATTGCAATTATATATAGGTAGGTTTGAGTCTATTTAAGTAATTAAGTGATCTTAATATTGCTCATGTATTTGTTTGAATCATATGAGCAAGAAGAACCAACATTGTGCATAAATAACACATACATGATTAAATTACGAAAATTATAATAAAAATAAAAATACAAGATAAAATTAAAATACCCGTATAAACGTAAACGATAAGAAATTATATCAAACTTAATTAACATTATTATAAATTTAAATTGTACTTTATTGCTTGCATTTGATGGACAAACTAGCTAAAACTTGAAACTTACACAACTACAAGTTAACAATAAAATACGATATTAAGTGACAAGTGAACAATGCACATGACCGAAAAATTAAAACCCGATCAATTTCAGTATACTACAATCAATGTATAACTTATTTTCTTTAGAACCAAAATGGCGAACAATTGAAATCGACACTATTAAGTTATATATAGCGATAAAAAGTACAGGATAAAAGCGAAAAACTCATCAAGCATTATATGGGAAAAAATCAAATTAAAACCCGATCAAAATTAACATTATAATAAATTTATATTGTACTTTATTATTTTCATTGATGATCATGGCTTGTGTTAAGGCACACCATCCTCCTCTATACACATGAGCATGTGGAATCCCACCATTGTTGCCCCCCAAAGCTCTCTCCCAAGCTCCATTTTTATAATCACAAATATCACAAAAAAATTAAAAAAATAATAATAACAATCCTTATGGGGTTCATAAAACAAACACAGTGCCCATCCCAAACAGCTCCAAGTAGGCCTCAGAATAATGAATGATTGAAAACCCTAAGAACAATTAAATTATTTATTTATTAAATTATTTATTGGTTTCAAGTGTGGGATAAAGAAAAAGATAAGAAGATATAATATATTGTCTCCCTCTTTGTATGCATGTGCTTTTAGAGTGAGAGATTTGATGTGTTTCTTGGTCTCTAGCCCATCTTCAACTCTAAATGTAGAGAGAGTGTGTTTAATTCATACTCATTGTGATTGTGATCGTGATCGCGACTAAGTTGAGTTTTTTTTTTTATTTTTTGGTCGAGCCCACAATTAGATTAAATTAATCGTACATCACCGGATGCACGACCGGGGAGTTTGTAGGCTTATGGTTGGAAAATAAGAAAACACAATATGGTGTCTTGTAAAGGGTGGGCAATAGGCAACATGTCTTTGTGGGATCATGTTTTAGTTTTCGAATTGAATTGATTTGATTTGATTTGATTTTTTTCTTTCAAAATGAAATTATTGCAACAAACACAAACTGTTGCTTTCTTCGAATATTGGGTGTTTTTATTAAACATGTTGGGTTTTAAACACTGTTTTGATCAATTTATCTTGATTTTCCTACATTAGGTTTGGTAGACTTTTATTCGGCGTATTAGAGAGTTGTAGGATTAATTTGGGTCGAGTGATTTATCTAATTGTTATTGTAAGATGCATTCGTGTCGAAAAAAATTATGTAAGGATAGTACAAATTTTGGCTATATTTTAAAAGAGTGTAGCAATGAATCGATTGACTAATTGGCAAATAAATATTCCAATCGATGAATAAATTTATTTGATTCAAACACCCGAATGCCGATGAATAAATTTATTTGATTCAAACACCCGAATGCTACTTCAATATAAATTATCTTGACGGCTTTAATGTAGCCGTGATTGGTTTGAAGAGATTGAAAGTTTAGAATGATGATCAAGATAAGTCGATATTATTGTCCTATTTTTCTCATCGTACAAGCACTTCATTTCTTGATAAAGGACATATTCAATCATATGTGTAACTCGAAGAGGGACAAAAAAAATAAAACAAAAAATTAATTATTTGCGGCTAGACTCGCGAGCGTGGTAGTTTTATCGATAAGAACTAACATATTATAAATTGAAGACAATTTTTAACAAAATTTAAAATGGCTCATTTGCTGTGTGGCAAGATCTTTGATACTTCAAATTGAAAATTTAATTCCAACAACTTCCAATTACTATTTAAAAAATAAAAAAATAATAATACAAGATCAAAGTAATTAAACAAAACCTTATTTTGTCATCATTTAATGATAGTAATTGGAATCCCAAATTAAATAATTGATGTGTAGTGTAGATGGATGCACACGTTCATACGAAATGATGTCGATCGTTTACACATCCAATTAATACATTAATAAAAATACAATTTTGGAATGGAAAGCATGGGCCAACAAGAGGGACACGATTTTAATATTTTCTAAAATTAGTGAGATTCTTCGACAACAAAATAATATAAACTAAAAATAAATTTGATTGACAACACAAAACCAT